CTGGGACAGGTGTTCAGGTGAGATGATGATTAGGTAACAGGAGGCTGAGGAGAAGGAAGGCTGCAGTGGGCCTGTGGGGAAGGTTCCCAGGAAGGGAAGGGAGGAGAGAGCAGGGATGCTGTTCACGGCCCAGCTGGTTAGGGTCCTCTGACTCCATAGTTCTGAAGCAGTACTTCCCCAAGATGCCACGTGGACTTACCACTCTGGGCCTCTGTGGAGTGTCTTGTAGGCTTGTGGCCTCTGGCCAGGACCTGGGTGGGGCTGCTGAGCTTAAAACCTCCTGTGAAACCATGTGGATAGTTGAAGCGTGGAGCATGCTTGGTAAGGAAGCGGTAAAGGAATTCGAGGGTTATTTTTAGTCTCTGGGAAAAAAGTAACTCCAGGGAAGGCTCCAACAGAGTTTTTAAATCTGGTAAGGTATGGAGAATGTTTTTACCTGTTCCAAGGTAAAAACAAAAGGAAATGGACTTGCTTTGCTGCGGGGGGATTTAGGTCACTTCATGGGAAGATCTTATTAGATGCAAGGAAAAGGCAGCTGAGGATAAAAGTGTGGGAGGCGGGGGTGTGGGAAATAAGTGTCAGAGCAGCATCAGTCTAGTCATGGGGATAATGGTCGCTGTCACTTGCGGTGCATCCAGGTCTGCCTTGTGTTAGGCTGCTGAGCTGTATTATGCATCTTGATTGTTGTGTATTTATTGAGCCTCCGCTCTGCTCCAGGCATTGTGCTCGGTTCTGGGGCCACCAGTGATGAGCAAAAACAGGTATTTTCCACAGTGCCTTGAGTGGGGTTGGGTGGGTTCTCAGGCTACTGGATGAGTCAGAAATAAGCATGTGAAGGCATTATTACCAACTGTGACAAATACTTTGAATGCCAAGTCAGGGTGCCATGAGAATGTAAAAACAGGCATATTGTACAGGCTCTGGAGTGTTAGTGGAAGGCTCATCTGTTCATACTGGGTTTTTTAATTTTCATTTTACTGAGCAGGAAATGGGGGTTCAGAAAAGTTAAGACACTTGCTCAAAGTTGCACAGCAGTTAATTGGGCAGAATTGGGTTTCAAATGTACTCGGGTCTGTCTGACCCCGGAGGCTTTTCTCCCAGGCACTTGACTGACTCTGGGAGCATCCTGGGCTACATGCCAGCGTAATGGAGCTTACCCTGTATTGTTTAATCTTCATGGACACCTGTGCAGTGTGGTTATTATACCCAGTATGTGGTTGAGGAGACCGAGGTTCAGGGTGGTTAATTAACTTGCCCAAGATCTCACAAGTCAGCTGGTGGCAGGGCAGGAATTTGAACCCAGGTTGTTGAACCCAAAAGCCTGTGAGTGTTCCACTCTATTCCGCTGCCATCTCTCCACCCCCACCCTGGTACTCTGGCTTTACAGACAAAGACTGCAGAGGTAAAGCAACCTGTTCAGGGACACCTGGCTTCAGTGACAGAGCAGGGCTGTACGTCAACTCTGTACCCTCCACCTCATTGTTCTTTCTCCTGTTTAGTTTATCACATGCGGCATTTGCTCTGCACTGAGAAAAGGCAGGGATGGTTGTGGGTCTTGGGCTGAGCAAGGGCAGGAAGAAAGGCTCTTGAGCAGGCCTGTGCTTGGGTGGGGCAGGACGGGCAGAGGCAGGAAAAGAGGTGCCCAAGGACCCTCTTCCCAAAAGGTGAGACTAGGAGGTCCTGTCCAGGAGGAGCCCATCGGGCCTTTGCTGTTGCGTCTCCATCAACAAATGGGTGCAGAGAGGACCAGCTGAGAGCCAGTGCCCAGTGCCAGGCGCCGAGTCCCAGCCTGTGGGAGTAAAAGGCCCTTGACTGGGCAGCAGGCTCTGGCAGGATTATTTGGTGGGCACCACGCCCTGGTGAACAGACCGACACCTCCCAGCCAGCTTGGCTGGTCACCAGAAGCCATTTTCTTTGTTACTAGGCGCTGGGCAAGAGGCCAGGATGAGCCATTGGGAGCTCCAGGAGACTAGCTCCCAATGTAAAGATAAACCACAGTGCCCCACTGGAGGACTCTGGGGGTGAGGTGTGGGTAGAAGAGGCCAGAGCGAAAGGAAGGACATGACCTAGTGCAGTACTGCCCAACAGAAATATAGTATGAGCCACACGCATCACTTTATATTTTCTAGTAGCTACATTGAAAAGGGTAAAAAAGAAGCAGGTGAATGAATTCAACTTAACCTTTACAAAATATTGTAAATTAACATGTAATAAATAGCCAATTATTTCCAAGCTATTTTACATTACAATCCTTGAAAACCCAGGTGTATTTCACACTGAGCCCATTTCCATCGGGACCGGCCCATTACAGGCTCTCAGTAGGCACTTCTGGCGAGTGGCTGTACTGGGCATGGCTGTTGAGCACTTAATTAGGACAGAGAGCCACCTCCTCTGCCTGTACCTCCCCCCGGGGGATGGCCGGAAGGTCAGCGTCAGGCACTGGGGAGACGGCAGCTCAGTCGCACCAAGGCCTTTAGGCCTTAGACCCGCTCATCTAGCCACGCGCGCTGCCGCGGCAGGTTCTGGGCTGCTGTGAGAAGAAAGGCTTTCAGATACGGGCTGGAAGGTCACAAAGTTGGGCCAGAATGGAGGAGAAATGCCCTTAGGATCCAAGTCCGGAGCTAGGAGGGGACCTGGTGGCCTGCCCAAGCCAAGGCCAGCGGAACAGTGGGTGTGGGACGAGGTGGCGTGGAGCCGGGCGGGATCAGAAGCCCACAGGCCTGCATTGTTCGCCTGTCACACTTCCTTTGGCTTTATTGCCTTTGTCCAACACCCTATTGTCTGGTTTCCTTTTGTCCCCCTTTCAGCGCCGCTGCCTTTTATTTCCCAGCCAGCCTGGTTGTTTTCATTTCTTTTGTCTGAAGTTCCTGAGAGGAAGGTTTTATTTTCAGCGGTTTGATTAATTCACAGCTTGAGCTGAGGTTTGTTTGTTATGTAATTGCTGCCCTCAGCTTCAGGATAATACCCCTCCTCAACTCCCCCTTCCCCCACTCGGCCCGCCTGCTTAGGCCTGGCTCTGCGCCCCTCCCTGTGCCCGGATGGGCTGAGCCACCCACTTCCTGGATGCTCTCCAGGTCCCGGGGTGGTGGGAGGGCACCCGGAACTGGACCCCGAAGCCCTGGGCCGACTTTCCTAGGGTCAGGTTCGCCCCTCCTCACCCTGCAGTGCCCTGTCCGGGATTTCACACTGGCGCCTCTCACCTCCCCCGTCGCGCCCTGCCCTTTGAAAGTCACAGGAGAGTCTGGGCTGGTGTGTAGGTTGGCATCAAATTGAACACATCTTATTCAGTTGTAATGCATTTTTCACTCATTTAGTGTGTCGTTAGGTAGCACATTGGGTAATTCATTATATATTACGAGAAACATTTAGTTGTACAAAGTTCATGCAATATATAAATATAGTGCACCTGCAATTTAATTTAAGGGGTGTTTTAATACATCTGATTTTTGCCTTATACTTCCTTCCTAAAAAATTAATGCCCATGTAAAAAAATCTTTTTTAAAATTTTATTTAACAATGCTTCTCAAACCAGTATGTATCATAATGATCGGGGGGGGGGGGCTTGTTAAAACACATTCCTCGCCCCACCCACAGAGATTCTGGTTTGTGCGGGACCCAAGACTTTGCCTGTCAGGCCTCCAGCATTGCTAAGGATGTACTTTCCTTGTGCTACCTGTAGCTTAACAAGCCTCTTGTAGGTGCTTAGTGATGCCTGGTAGTGTTCCAGACACCGTACAAATGGCAGTTCATAGCCCCCTTTACAGATGAGGAAACTGAGGTGTGGAGAGGTTAAGCAACTCACCCAAGGTCACTTAGCAGCTGGTTGAGTGTCCAAGGCCGGACCCAGGCATATCTGGTGGAACCTGCTGTGTGACCCCACGGGTCTCATCTCAGTGACTTTGGAGGGTGGGCAGGGGAGCTCTGGGGGTCTGCCCCTCTGGCCCTGAGCCTGGCATGACCGCTGGAAACCACTCCCCGGGACCTGTGACTGTTCTGCTGCGCTGTAGATGTGGCAGGTGGGGAGGCAGTAAGGGAGCAGCGTATTCAGAGTGTTTAAACCAGGGGTTGCAGATGCTTAAACCAGCTTGCAGCACACAAGAAGAAGTTTTTAAAGCTATTTACCCATCTCTCAGCCCGTTGCTTATTTTCCCACTTTTGGTAAATACATGGATATAAGAAATAGTTCTCTTTCATCTTGTCACTGCTGTAAGAAAAACAAAGAATAAATGTGTTAAATTGAGTAGTTCATACTTGGTCTCTGCCTTGGGGAGTGGTAGGCAGTGCTGGTGAGTAAGGCAGGCTGGCCTCATTTCCAGCCAGTCGTTGCCACTGACCAACCTCAAGAGAAATTCAAATCCAGATATTTATGTGATACTTCTTGATTTTCAAGTTTTGGTAACTAATTACAAATATGTATACACACAAACATGCACAGACACAGAAACATGTATAACCTTGGCTTATTGGACTGAGAAACAGCCACTTAATGTCTGGCTTCTTTAGGTGGACCCGTCAGCCCACTAGTCTCAACATTGCAACAGGCAGGGAGCATCCGAGGTTGGGCCCAATCTTCTCTACAGCTTCCTACTTAAAAAAAGGTGGGCAGGAGGAAGAAGAATCTTTTTTCTGTTTTTCTTAATTTTCCAATTCAAATTTAATCTTAGCTTCTGGTTTTTATTTTTTTTAAAGATTTTATTTATTTTTAGAGAGAGGGGAAGGAAGGGAGAAAGGGAGAGAAACGTCAATGTGTGGTTGCCTCTCATGTGCCCCCTACTGGAGACCTGGCCCACAACCCCGACATGTGCCCTACCTGGGAACCCTCTGGGTCACAGGCTGGCACTCAGTCCACCAAGCCACACCAGCTGGGGCTCTAACTTCCCACTGTATCCCCCGTGGGAGCTCCCGTCTTGTGAGTGTGCCTGTTTGGGACTGGGGACGGAGGGCGGAGTTGCTGCCCTGGGTCCCAGCACTCACCTCTCTCTCTGCCCCTCCCCCCACAGGATGTCCATGAGGAGCCCCGGCTCTGCCCAACTGGCCCTGGATGGCAGTGGCACCATGGTGAACTGTGCTGTCAAGTCAGAGGGGAAGAAGGAGCCCTGCCACGAAGCCCCCCAGGGCTCGGCTGCCACAGCGGAACCCCAGCCCGGAGACCCAGCCCGAACTACCCAGGATGGTGCTGACCCCCACGCACTAGCCCAGGTGCCCAGCACTTTCCCAGGGGCTCCTGGGTCAGTGTTCCCACCTCAACAGTGTCCCTACCACATCCATGTACCACCCTGGGCCTCTTCTTTAAGCCAGGCAGGCATCCACCCCTGTAGCTGCGGGGAGGGCCAGGCAAAAAAGGTCATCTCTGGGGCAAGACTTAGGTGAGTAGGGAGGGGCTGCCAAGTTCATTCAGGCAACCTGTCCAAGTGGACATGGGCTCACTCCTGCACTTACTCAGCTGACATGAACACTCACCTGTGTGGCCAGTCCTTATCCCAGGGACTAGTTGGAAAGATAGAATATATATACCCAAAGTTTGGCTTAGAGATAATCACAACCTTTTCATCTGAGTTTAGAAAATCAGTCGTATTACTGAAGCCAGAGATAAATTGCTGTTTAGGACTATATTATTCCTCATCCTTAAAATGAAGGAGCTGAAAACTACATGAGCAGTAAGGATTCTTGCAGCTGTTAAAAATTCTGTGATTCCATGTAAGAGATGTAAAAAGGGAATATATAATTAAAAGCCAAATGAGGAGAAAATAGGAGAGGTTTAGGGTCCTGAGCATGGGTCCAGCCTGGAAGAATGGCTAGGAGGGAGTTAGGAGGCTGGATGGTAGTCAAGGAAGACTTCCTGGAGGAGTAGGGCCTCGAGGTGGACCTTAAAGAATTGAGAGGAGTCAGTGAGAAGAGGAGAGTGGCCATTGTCTTACGGAGAGGTAGGGTGGGGGCCCGTGGAGTAAGTGGTCCAGCTGGAGTGGTGGGTATATGCAAGGGACTAGTAATTAACAGCTAGCTTTCGGCCCCTGCCTCTGCAGCGGCCAGCCTCATCGACACGCGTTGACTCCCTGTGACAAGGATGGTATGAGTGTTTCCATTTTCAGCAGAGGTGAGTCAGGTTCAGGGAAGTTCAGGGACTCGTGGGATCAAGCACCTTGTGAGTCACTGAGCCAGGTCTCCTGTCTTTAAACCTTTATTCTTCTTAGTATATCAGGCAAAGTCAGAGCAAAGGAAGGTGGGGAGGGAGGGCCCTACAGTGTATTATCTGCTGGGTGCTCAGCCCCTTCTGCAGCCTGCACCCTCCCCCAGAGGTGACGGTGACATTCAGTGTGCCTTCCAGGATTGCAGCTCACCAGAGAGCAATGGATCCCCGGAACCCAAAAGACCAGGAGGCTCTGAGGCTGCTTCTGGAAGCCAGGAGAAGCTGGACTTCAGCCGAAATTTAAAAGAAGGTAAGATTTCTGCCCTAGTTAGAGGCAGGAGCCTGGGTAGGGGGAGGTGTTAGGACAGTGGGTCCTTATTCTTTGGTATCTTCTAGTTGTGCCGGCCATTGAGAAGCTGCTGTCCAGTGACTGGAAGGAGAGATTTCTGGGAAGGAGCTCTGTGGAAACAAAAGATGTCAAAGGTGAAGGCCATGGGGGTGGGCAGGGGAGGGATGTCTGAACCCCTGCACCTTTTCCCAGCCTGGCCATGCAGTCTGGGCCCCCAGGGCAATTCTTGGGGCTCTTCGTGTCACCTGTGTCACTCTGACTCCTGCCTGGCCGTGGGATCGGCACATCCCTCACCTTGGGACCAAGCATTAGGTCTGGCTCATTCCCATGTAGGGAGAGGCCTGGTGGGAATCAAATCCCATGGATGTGGGTTTGGGCTCGAACCAGGGGACCCTTGTGACCTTGGGCATATCATTGCCACTTCCCAGATGTAGCTAGGAAATGATCAGAACATTCTCTTAAATTTTTGAAAATAAATTTGAGGCCAGCAAGACCTCATAAGTAAATTAAAGGGCTGCTTAGTAGGTTCACGAAAGTAATAATTTCCCAATGGGGTTGATCATACTCACAGAGGGCACTTTATTTATTTGCAAGAGAAAAGAACCAAATTTAATATGTACAGTATGTATGGGAACTCCACATACATGATAGAGACCCAATATGCACGGGAGTTCAGAGATAAAAAGGGAACGTAGGTATATAAGACACTCGGAGCTAGGAATGAGATAGTGTTCCTTGGGTATATGCAGTGTACCTTGGGTATATGCAAAGTGTCATTGCAGGATGCTAAGAAGAACAGATGTTTAGTAAATAAAATTGTGCCTGGTATAGGTGGGTCAAAAGAGATTATTTCTGATAGTCTCTTATGCGCAAGGCCCATAATTCAAGTTCTTCTAGATAGTTAAAGGGAGGGAGAGAAGTTTCTCTTGAGCCTGAAGCTAATAAAACTGCCTTTAGCTCAAAATAATGTGCATACCACTGAGGTACATCTTGGGGTGACTTATTCTGAACCTCTACAGTTCCCTCCTCAGACACTTCCCTGGAACTGTCACATTCCAGAAGATGGGCTGATAGACCATTTTCTGTATATCATTAAACCAGTCTTAGTCTTGAGAAAAGTTCAGTTAAAGTTATATCTCATTTCAGGAGGCAGAGATGCCAGTGGCCTCCCAAAGTTAAGCCCATGGTACAAGCAATCAGGTATTTGATAAGAGACATCTATGGAAACAGAACAAAGGTTCATGATGGAAGCAGACTATAATCTCAGTTTCTGAGTTCTGAAGGCAGGTGATCAAGATTTCTAGAGGGCTGGCTCGAAGCCTCTTCAGATGAAATGAGGCAGGCAGTTGCAGTCTGATAGATCCTCCCAATGTGCGGATTGAATGTCTTTGGTGATCTGTTTGCAACAGGCCCAAAGATTGTCCACAGATAAGCTGTTGTGACTTCTCTGAAGTCTGCATCCAGTTGTCTCACTTTAGCTTCTGTGGCCTTGGGAAAAGGGCAGTTTTTAGTTCTCAGTGATTCTAAGTTAATGGGTGGGAAAATGAAAATGTTAGTTTGGAGAGTTACAGCCAAATATTTAAGAAAACTGGAACTCAGGATCCAGTCCAGTTTATAGGTAGAAAATTTTAGAAACTCAAAAGACAATAAATAGCACTAGTATCTAATATCCACAAGGTATATTAAAGTTTCTATGGAAACAGATTTTCTCTTTAAAATCACCCCCACTTTTACCAAAGATAACCAAAGTAAGACTTGCAGAGTAAGTCTAGTTTCAATAAACTTGGCCGGATTATTTGTGTAAGTCTGGCAAGAATAGTAATTAACCATAGAGGCTCTTTTAAATCCATTTTGCTGGAATTTAAACATTTTTTTTTTAAAGATTCCATTTATGTATTTTTAGAGAGGGGGGAGAGAGAGAGAGAAACATGGATGTGTGAGAGATACATCGATCAGTTTCCTCTTGCATACTCTCAACTGGGGACCTGGCCCACAACCCAGGCATGTGTCCTGTCTGGGAATCGAACCTGCAACCTTTTGGTTCACAGGCTGGCACTCTGTTCACTGAGCCACACTGGCTGGGGTGCCGCTGGAATTTTTCATAAGAAATCTTCAGATTGAATTTTATAAGGCCTTTCAAGGCCTGAAAAACCAAGGCAAGGACTTGACCTCAGACATTACCTGTAGTACATATAGGTTTGGGTGAGTTCCTCTCTTCTGAGGTTTCTACACTTGCCAAGGAGTGATGTTTTTTACTCACATGGTAACACTGCTGGAAACTGTGTAAGCAAGGTACCAGGCCAATATTTCCAAAGGTTTTTATTGGCTTCCATAAGTTAAGTCGATCTTAATTCCCTAAAGCTGTCTGTTCATACCTGAGCCTATACATCTCACTCAAATATGATATTTCCATCAAATCCTTGGTAATAAAACCAGTTTCCAATTGTGTCCTGTTATAAAGGGAACAGATTCTTACCAAACTTACAGCAAATACCATGTTGCCATAAAATATACTACTTACTAAGAGTTTCCAAATTCTGGGAAGGATCAGGCAGGGAGAAAAATACAGTGTTTCAATATTGCTTACAAAGGTATAATTTACCAATTGCTAAGTCATAGGTAGTTTAAGAGAAACAAATTTCCTCTTATCAGGAAAACAACAGCTTTAAAAAAATCAGTAATCTCAAACAAAAAAGTCACACAATCAGTTCATTCATTTCTGTGTAGTTAAACTTGTTCTGCTTGAATCTGGTTTTGCCACTAGTTCTCTTGGCCTTGCCTGATAATTGAGGGTGATAGGGTCAGCGATAATTCCAAGTTTGCAAGGCTGTCCGCCAGGGTTCGTACGATGTGCTCAGGAAAGCAGGTGTCTCCATCACAGAGGGCAGTTTAAACCAGTGCAGCTACCCAGGCTCCTGGGCACCTATTTTCCAGAGGCTCACCGAGTACGTTCCAGTGCAGACTGTCTGGCCTGGCATTTTCTGCATTTGATATTAGGCAAATTGGAGGGAAGTGAAGCACTAACAGTGGTTGGTTGAAGACCATGTGCCAGATCCTGGACTAAAAGTTTTACAGTCATTGCCCCTTTAATCCTTGCAGCAACCCCTTGAAGTGATGATGAGTGTGCTCATTTGTAGATTAAAAAACCTCAAGTGCAGAGAAGTTGGTAACTTGCCCAAGAACTCATAGGCGGGCTGGGTTGAAAAGGGGATTTGAGCCCTGATCTCTCTTGCTCCAAAGCCTGAGCGTGTCCTGCGGGGCCGCTCCTGTGGGATGGCTGTGCACCCTGACCTGGTGCACTGGGCACTCAGGGATGTCCACGGGGCGGGCAGGGCTGAGATGCCCTGCTGCCCCACCGCCAGCATTTCCAGTGGCTGGTGGTAGCCTTTCTAGGACAGCTAGTTGTCAGACAGCGAGATGAAGAGTGCCTTCAGGGCAAGGCTCATGTCCCCTCTGGCTCAGCCCCTAACGGGCCTGGGTCAGAGCAGTTGATCAATAAATAGCAGATGATGGACGGCTAGATAGACGACCAAACACAAATTCTCAGCGGTGGCTATTTCACTCTGGAGCAGGGACCCAAGAGAGCCTGGCAGAGAAGGAGCTTCAGCTGCTGGTCATGATCCATCAGCTGTCCACTTTGCGAGACCAGCTTCTGACGGCCCATTCAGAGCAGAAGAACATGGCGGCCATGCTCTTCGAGAAGCAGCAGCAGCAGATGGAGCTGGCCCGGCAGCAGCAGGAACAGGTAGGTCCAGCTTGGGAGTCTGGCTTTCTTTCCAGGGGTGTGGTCTCTCAGGGCCTAGAGTGAGAACCTTGGGGGCGGCCCAGCCAATGCAGGCTGAGGCCTGGGGCGGGTGGGGGAGGGGGTCCTAGGGGAGGAGGCTATGGGACCGCCTGAAGGATTCCCACTTCTGGCTATTCATAAGCCCTTATGGGGGTCAGGGGCTGGAGAGGTACTGAAGGGTCCTGCTGAAGCTCCATCCCTGGCCTATGAGGGAAGGTTGAGCTCCCAGCAAAAGGAGAATAAATTTTGAAGGTTGGCTGTTCTGCTTCTCGCTCCGCTCAGCTCTCCTTGTTTGCATCTCGGAAGGCAGGGTGTGTGGTTGGGGCCCAGAATGCTCTGGGAGGTGGGGCCGGGGGCCTAAGCCCATGCCGCCTTTGCCTACTCTTCCCTCTGCCAGATTGCTAAGCAGCAGCAACAGCTAATTCAGCAGCAGCACAAAATCAACCTCCTTCAGCAGCAGATCCAGGTGATAAGAGGGGAGGCTGGGTGATGGGAGAGCTGGAGGCTCAGGGGTTGATACCTGCCCAGAGAGGTGCTGAGGACAGGGAGGGACAGGCAGAATCACTCGGGCATGACCCTGAGGAGGGGACTCTTTCCTGCTGTACTCCCCTCCCCTGTCTTCCTCCCCTGTTTCAAGGGAGGGGGGCCCAGAATACCTTCCTCCCCAGCTGGGACCTGAGGGCAGGCAGACAGGGGCCCCCGGAGGTGGTATGGAGCCAGATGGATCCTTTGGAAGACTGTCTGCACCCCAAGCTCTGTGCCTCTCATCCCTGCCTGGGGCTGGCCACAGCTGGGTAGCCATGTGGGCCTCTGGAGACTCACAGGGTTTCTTTGCTCTCAGCAGGTCAACATGCCTTATGTCATGATCCCGGCCTTCCCCCCAAGCCACCAACCACTACCTGTCACCCCTGACTCCCAGCTGGCTTTGCCCATTCAGCCAATCCCTTGCAAACCAGGTGAGTGTGGGACAGGAGGGCCTGAGGTAAGGAAAGGAGGCCCAGAACCACTATTATTTGCAGTGTAGCTTTTCTGGGCCTCATTTTGGGATCTTTCCAGTGGGAGAATAATCCCTCGTTTCTGCATGTCACTAGGAGAATGAAAAATAGTACATTGAAAACCATAAAGTGCTTTCCACATTTAGCCAAGCCAGGTCTAGTCTCCCCAGTTCGGGTACATTTACTGTACCGGAATATTAATATTTTGGACAGTAATTGAGATTTATATGTCCCCCAAAGTCATACTTTTGTTCTTGCCCTGCCTGTGGCACTCTTGCCCTCTGCCCTGTCACTGGAACTCAGTGAACATAAATGAGCACCAACCACATGCCATGCTGTGTAGTTGTTGGGTGGCCAAGGAGGTGATAAAGTGTGAACTTTGAGCTCAGGAATGTACAGCCTGGGGAGGGAGAAAGAAGCATGCCACCAGCTGGGGAGTCGGGGAAGGTCTGCTGAGGAGGTGGCGCGTGACCAGGTCCTGGGAGAGCGCACTTGGGAGGGTGGGGCTGGGAGCCGAGGGCAGAGGGCTCCAGACAGGCAGTGCAGGCGGAGGCCCTGGGACCTGCCCATGGAGAGAGTGTGACAGGGCAGCGGGGACATGGCTGGGGAGGGCAGTTGGGACCAAGCTTGGAGTTGAGGATTTATTTTTGTGGAATGTGGGGCGTGTGTGAACCCTTGAGTAGAGGACGTGTTGTGATGTTGGCTGTGGGTGATGGGGAATGGAGCGGGGGGGACCAACTGAAGGCCGAACTGGGTAGGGGGCCGTTGAGGTGCTTCTAGCAGTCGGAGGTGACAGTGTGAATGAGGGCAGTGACACTGGGAGGGGGGCAAAGGTAGAATTACTAGGCCATGGGCATTGATTCCTCGTGAGTGGTCATGGGGACAGGGTAGAAATGCTGCTGCAATGGCCCCAGGAAGGGGAGTAGCTTTTAAGTCAGCCCCTCTGGTCCATCCTCCCTGTTCCATGTGAGAAAGGGCAGGGGGAATCCAGCTGAGCGAGTTGCTGCCGTTCCGCCATCAAGCCTGTGGGCCCATGGGCAGAGTCATTGGTTGGCTCCACTGACTCTATTTACCTTGAGGGGAGATTCCAGGGGGAAGGGGGAGGATAGGGCAACAACGCAAAACCATTGCGATTCCAGGTGACCACGGAGCAGAGGCACAGGGGTGAGGAGAGCAGCGGCCTGCTTGGGGAGGGGCCGCACGCATACTTGCTGGACAAGGGAGGCAGGAAATGAGCTGTGGACAACCTGGACTGGCCAGGCTGCCACTTGCTTCGTTTGATCCAGAATTCTAGTAAGCAGGAGCCCTGCAGGCTGCCAGATGCCCCTTCCTGTAGCTGAGGGAGCAGTCCCAGCCCACAGGCCTTCGATGGCGCTCCGTCGCCTATAGCGTGCAGTCCAGACTCCTGAGTTCAGCCTTCACGTGCCTCGGAGCCCACCTTGTCTACCCCGTGCCAATCTCCTGTCCCACATCTTGCTGTCATACCCCACCACAGCGTGTCCCCCTGTCCGCCTGCCAGCGTTCTGTCTCAGCTCCCCGCAAGAGGTCCGCGCCGGCCCCTCCATCTGGAACAAAGTTCTCTCCCATGCGATATATGCACTGAGCCCACATCACCACGGGCTCTGTGGTTAGTGATTTGTATTCATAGCCGTCTCTCCTTCTGAACTGTTAACTCTGTGACTCTGGGCCCGGTTAAGGAAACTGAGATAGATGAGGAAGAAGAGCAAGTGCCATGCAGAGGGGAGAGGACGAGTCGTGGAGTTTAGGGGACCTGGATTCAAACATCAGCGCTCCCATTGATTAGCTTTGTGGGCAGCTCATGTAACTCCTCTGGGTCTTAGTTTCTTTATCCGTAAAGTGGAATAATGTATTGAGCACCTATTATATACGGCGCAGTAAGGATTATTGTGAGAGAATGTGCAGAAGACACAGCAGGTAGCTGCTTCTGTACCCTGCACATAGTAGGTACAAAATACAAGTACCTGTAGCGTGAGTAGATGGTACTTCTGTTCTCATTTCACCTGGGTCTGGGTTGTGAAGGGCAGGGCGGGGTGGCAGAGCCTGCCGGTGTGCCGCGCAGTGGCGGGGAGGGCGAGGCGGTCCTTGGCGGCGCTCTGGGGCTCGGGTGAGCAGTGGTTGGACGCCGCTGGGCCAGCTCCAAGCCTCTGTCCACTCTGTGCTGCTGGGGCCTCATCAAGCAGGGTATCTGCTGTTCTGTGCTCATCCAGGCCTTTTCTCCTTGCCGCCTTTTCCATAGTGGAATATCCGCTGCAGCTGCTGCACAGCCCCCCCGCCCCAGCCATGAAGAGGCCTGGGGCCATGGCCGCCCACCACCCCCTGCAGGTACTGTGCCACCCACTCCCTAGCTGGGATGACTGGCTGCCCGCTTGTCTGTGCTGGGTATGCTTGTCCCCTCTCTCCCTCTGTGGGCGTCTAGGTTGGTGTCTCTCACCCTCTGCCTCTGGGTCTCCCCTAGGAGCCCTCCCAGCCCCTGAACCTCACAGCCAAGCCCAAGGCCCCCGAGCTGCCCAACACCTCCAGCTCCCCCAGCCTGAAGATGGGCAGCTGCGGACCCCGCCCCCCCAGCCACGGGGCTCCCACACGGGACCTGCAGTCCAGCCCCCCCAGCCTGCCTTTGGGTAAGCTTTCTACCTGCTGCACCTTTTGCCTTGCCCTCTTCTAAGGGAGCGTCAAGAGGGCATGATATATGACCTTGAGAATGACCCTTCCCCTCAGAGGTTAGACTTGCCCTGGTCAGCCCCTTTTAGTTCTAGCATTCAGTGTCTCGGAAGACAGCCTTCTGTCGCCGACCGTATCTGTCCGGGCACCCCTATGCTCCGGTGATGCAGGCCATGGCTTGCACAATTTCAGGGCATACTGCCCTTATTTCTGCTGGCACAACAGGCAGTGTAAATGGTGCCCCCTTGGGAATGTGCAGTGAGACAGCCCTGGGAAGGGGCTAGCGGGAGCGCAGGAGGGGCGTGGCGTGAACTGGGGTGACCCCTCAACTCTTCCATGTCCCTTCTCCTCCTACCGCCATAGGCTTCCTTGGTGAAGGGGATGCTGTCACCAAGGCCATCCAGGATGCTCGACAGCTGCTGCACAGCCATAGTGGGGCCTTGGAAAGCTCCCCCAACACGCCCTTCCGTAAGGTATGGGCCCCACTCCCCTGTGCTTAGAAGCAAGGGACAGACGGTGGCAGGGGTGGAAGACAAAGTTCGAGGCCACCAAGGGGGTAGGGTGGGGAAGAAAGTGGGGTGACGCAGAGAGGCTGATATAAAGGTTGCGCCGTCAATCCTAGGACCTCATCAGCCTGGACACATCCCCAGTCAAGGAGCGGCTGGAGGAGAGCTGTGTGCACCCGCTGGAGGAAGCCATGCTGGGCTGTGATATGGACGGTGAGGGCTCAGGGCCCTGGGGTAATGGGCAGGAGGGCCGCCTCTGCTTCCCACCAGGGTCCGGTGGGTCAGGTCATGTCTGTTTCCCGTCCCTTCTCTCCCTTTGTGGAGCCCCTGTATGTATCTGTCTGTTTCTGGGTCCCTGCCTGGGCCTCTCCTGACATCTTGCTGCTGGCCATCTCTGGGTGCTGTGGGAGCCCTCCAGCACTCCCTAGTGGTCAAGTGTAGGGTGTTTCTTTCTGCTGGCCCTGGAGGACTGTCCTTACCCTAGACAAGCTGCCCTGCTGACTCCACCCCTATCCCCCAGCCTCCCGCCACTTCCCTGAGTCCCGGAACAGTAGCCACATCAAGAGACCCATGAATGCCTTCATGGTGTGGGCCAAAGACGAGCGGCGGAAGATCCTCCAAGCCTTCCCAGACATGCACAACTCAAGCATCAGCAAGATCCTCGGTAAGGGCCAGCGGGTAAGGTGTGCGGGAGCTCTGTGGCTCCAGGAGCCTTAGCCCAGCAGGACATGGTCGCGGGAGCCAGTTGGATCTCTTTGGCGCTTGCTTGGTAGCCCATAGCATGTTGAACTCTGGTGGGATCTGATGGGGTGTGTGAGTCAGGTGAGATGTGGGGCAGTTGAGTCCTAGGGTCTTGTACCGTTGTCTGGCTCTTCTGCCAGCACCTGCACCCAAGAACTTAGGGTGCGCGTGTGTGTGTATGTGGACATACATGCAGATGTGAGAGAGCCCCTCCTCCCATCTCTGCCTGCCTAACCTGTTCTACTGACACTCTGGCAGAAATTAGGAGATACTAATGCTCTTGGGCTGTCAGTAGAAAGGTCTTTACATGAGGCGCCCTGCCTGGAGGGTGGGCTGTAGGTTGGGGCAGGTGGGGCTAGAAGAGGGCAGTTGTTTTCAGGACTGTGACTCCCCCAGTGTCTGTGCCTGCCTCTTAGGAGCACAGACGCCAGATATTTGGTCCTGAACAGGAAGCCTGTTTCACTGGGGGTGCTTCAGTAGCTGCTCTTTTTTTAAGCAAGTAATGTAGAGCAGAGGCCTTCCAGAAGTTGCTGGGTGCTGTGCCTTAAGCTGGCAGTTGGATGCCCATATATGTGCCAACTTCACTGTTTCATTTGCTCACCATCCGAGGAGCATCCACATTGAGCCAGGTTCTTGCTAAGTGCTTTCCCATATATCTGGGAACCAAAACCTCCTTGGCACCTCCAGGGCCTGCAGGGGGCTGGGGATGGTTGGCAGAGCCCAGCACTGACTGCTTGCCTGCCTCTGGGGCCTGGGCCAGGCTCCCGTTGGAAGTCCATGACCAACCAGGAGAAGCAGCCGTACTACGAGGAACAGGCAAGGCTGAGCCGGCAGCACCTGGAGAAGTACCCCGACTACAAGTACAAGCCGCGGCCCAAGCGCACTTGCATCGTGGAGGGCAAGCGGCTGCGGGTGGGCGAGTACAAGGCCCTGATGAGGACCCGACGCCAGGATGCCCGCCAGAGCTACGTGACCCCGTGAGCAGGCCCACCCCAGGCTGCGGGGACTGTGTGCATGTGTGTAGCTGTTGCGAGTGGCAGGGAATTACTGTGCGAGACTGAAGAAGTGCTGTGCCGGTGGGTCTGTTGGCTGTGTGTGAGCATCGGTGCGTGTGAGGGCGCTATCTCACTGTGGCTGGGCCTCGGTATGTAACTGCAGGGGCAGCCGTGTGTGTTGGGTACCTAGTGTTTCAGGGTATAACTTTGTGACAGTGAGTGTGGAGGGCTGGTGTGTACCTGGAGAAGTGTGCCTGTGGATTCCATTTATGACAAATGGTACAAATTCAGGGGTCCCCCCCAAAACCAAGGTATTCATCATAACAGAAGATTCCCAAGTTGACAAAAGCATTTAAATGCATAATTTCCTAAAGGGGGATTCACACACAGTCCTCCAGGAATATCTTTTGAAGATGTGTGTGCAGGGCTGTAGCTGACAGTGGATGTGGCTGTCAGAAAGCGGCCCAGGGGTGCAGTGTGTGTCTGAGTCAAAAGGGGATGAGGTGAGAGGGCACGGCCTGAAGAGGCCTGGGCGGGAGCTGGGCGGGGGTGTAGAAGTAAAGATGCTTCTGTAACCTGCCTCTTGTCTGCCCCGAAGCCCGCAGGCAGGCCAGGTGCAGATGAGCTCCCCAGATGTCCTGTACCCTCGAGTGGCACAGACCGCGGTGGAGCATTATGTGCCCCGAAGCCTGGACCCCAACATGCCTGTCATCGTGAACACCTGCAGCCTCAGGGAGGAGGCCGAGTCCACGGAAGACAGGCACTCGGTGGCTGATGGCGAGATGTACCGGTACAGCGAGGACGAGGACTCGGAGGGCGAGGAGAAGAGCGACGGGGAGTTGGTGGTGCTCACGGACTGATCTCCTCCCAGAGAAGGCCTGGCCCCAAGCCGAGGGGCACAGCCAGCTCACCTGGACTCTGTTGGTACTTGGACTTCGGTGTGCCGGGAGATGGCACAACTGTGTACTTGTAGATACAGGCCCCCCCCACCCCTGCAGGCACACCGGAAGAGCTGTTGGCATAAGTGGGCAGGGCCTGCATGGTGGTGACAGCTGAGTGGGCCGAGCCCCTTGGTCCTTGGGGCTCTTAGCCAGGGGACACTGTATGTGACCCTCCCCTCCTGCAGGTCTACCCTCCCTGGGTGTACGGCAGCTCCACACCTGTCTCCCCGGAGCCACATGGTTTGTTGCCATTCTTGTCCTGGCTGGACCAGCCACCGTGGGACTGGCGCCCCGCACCCTCCCTCCACATACACACATTGCTCCTCTATCACGAGGATCACTTTGTACTTCGTGTGAAAAGGTCTGGCCGTCCCTCTTTTTTTATCTTCTGCTAAGCCTGTTAGGCCTCTGGCTGCTGTTGCATATTTATTGCGTGCCCACTACGTGCCAGGCACTGTTGCTAAGTTCCTGTCGGTGTGTCTCTTGATGCCACTCTTGCTTCTCTGGGGGCCTCTGTGTTCTCTTTGTCCCCATATTGCTACCTCTTTGTCAGTCTGGGTGTCTCAGGTTCTGTGTGTCCTTGTCTCTGCAGGGCCCTGTTTGTCTCTTCCCCCTTCCTTGGCTTCTGACTCTGCCCCGCTGCCCGCTGGCCATTCTGGGTCTCTGAAGGCCCCTGGGCCACCCCGACCTCCCTGACTCTTGCTGGTGGGTTCCCACAGAGCCATTTTTAGTCCTGAGCAGCATGGGAATGTGCTCCGCCTCCACGGAGCTCTGTCCTGGTGCCCCAGACCCTGGTCCAATCTAAGTGCCAGGAGTGGGAGCAGGACGACTGATTGTGCCCCCTCCCTGTCAGTGACAGAAGCCCTGGCGAGCAGGCTCCCACGGCAGCTGGTCTCTGTTCCTCCCTCTGAGCAGATAGTGGGCGGGCTCACCAAGAACGGAGAGAAGACTCGTCCACCCCTGCCCACCCCCCTCGCACACGGCTTTGCCCTCGCCCTGCCTGCCCCCCACCCCCGCCGCCCCGCCTCACTGGGGAACTTGCCTCTGCTCCCAACCACTTTCACAAGTCACTTCCTTAAGGAAATGAAATCCCACTGGCACAATTCTAAAGATCCGAGTGAGTCAGGATCAGAAAGGAACCCCAGATCCCACAGGGACAGATGTGGAGTCTGTGCCTACATCCCATCTTATCCCCAAAGCCCTTCTCTCCAGGCTGTTTCCTTTTTTTATGACTGTAAACATAGATAGTGCTTTATTTTGTTAATAATAAGATAATGATGAGTAACTTAACCAGCACATTTCTCCTGTTTACACTCGGGAAGTTTTTTGTTTTCTGTTGGTATAATAAAAGCAGACCATTTCAGAGTCTGACCCTTGCATGGGGGAGTTGGGGCACGTTCTAGTTGGGGAGTCCTAAATGGGCCACCAGCCCAGGCACCACTGCCCCCTGCTGGCAGCTTGAGGGAGCTTCAGGCCTGTAGCCCAGGAGGAACATCTGAGGCAAGGCAGGCTCAGACCCAACACCCCCGCCACTCTGGCCCCTAAAGCCCAGAGCGCACACTCCGAATGATGCTCCCCTTGTCTTGAGGTCCTGAGCAAGAACACAGTGGTAAAAATGCGGTAATGAGTCAGGAAGCTTGGGTTCTTCCTAAATCTGGCCTTGTGCATGTGTGGGGCAGAGTGGGGGGTGTGGATAATCATTTCCCCTCAGACCTCATTGTTTTCATCCAAAAACAAGGTCAAGCCTTATCCATCCATGGTTCTTACCTTCTTTTGGAGGAGTCCTTTGAGAATCTAATGAAAGCCATGAACCCTCCCTCATCCCAGAAAAGGGCTCACGTGGACACCCCAAACTCACGTATACATTCCCTGGGATACTGAACAGGGTCTCTAATGTGTTTCAGGGATGTACCTCTGACTACGCATTTTTTTTTTTAATCACTTGAGGGTATGTTTGTTGATCTTAGAAATAGCGATCAGTTGCCTCCCATACATACCCCAACTGGGAATCGAACCCACAACCTTTTGGTGCATGGGATGACGCTCCAACCGAGCTACCTGGCCAGGGCCGTCCCTTATGCTTTGAATGAGGACACAAAGAACTGTATTACACTAGGGAAGATGACAGTCTGTAAGACCTGAAATGACTAGATGGCACATGTAAACTCTCAAGATACATACTAACAGGGATCAATAAAAAGACTGACTTGTGATTAAAAAATTTATCCTGTTAATGTGGAACAGGGGCAGCAAAGCTGAATGGCAATTCTTGTGAGATTTGGGTGGGAGTAACAGAGGCATGTGTTCACAAAAAGGGTGGTGACAAGCCAGGGTACACCACACAGTCCGAGCCCCTAAACAGAAAAGGCCATTGTCACATTGAACGGACCCAGAGACAGGTACCCTGCATAGGAGAGAACTGGCGAGAGCACAGTGGACACATATTAGAGGCACAGTTGGAAGGGTCAAGGGATGTTTAGAAAAGAGGAGACTAAGGCATAAAGGGTAAGACCGCTTTCTTCAAAGCTGTCAGGTAGGCAGTCTGCAGATTGAGGTAGAACTGGCTTCTTGATGCTTCTCAAGGGTCAATTTTGGCTTAACAAAAAGCTTATTGACAAATGTTCAAAGGGAGAGTGAACTTTCCAACACAGGAAGTGTACCAGCAGAGGCTCCTGAATGCCGGAAAAGGGGTACTAAACTGGAGAGGTGGTAAGAGAAGTGAAGTGTGGCTGATTCCAGGGCCACAAACGGGACTGAAGACTCCCCAACAATTAAGAGTCCCGGCCTTTTGATCTAGGGACCATCCTGGCTGCTAACCTCAGGCTTTTCCCAGCCCAGCGTCCCAGAGCTTTGGACCTTCTCTCCTGGGCCCACCCCACCCCGCATCTCCGCAGCGGAGCCCAGCTTCCCTGGATGCTTGTGAAGCTGCAGGCGGTCCTTGGGAAAAGCAGCATGGCCGCCGGCAGCGCCTGCCCTCTGGTGGTCACATAGGGGAGTTGCTTATTTCCTGTCCATACACCCCGACCCCTCGTCTCCACTACCCGCCCTGTGTTCCTAACCAAATGCGGAAGCCTGGTCAGGAGAGTCCCAGCTAGACTCACCCTCACCCCCTGCCAGTCCCAAGCTCCTCTCGCGTCCCAAGCCCCAGGTCCTCTGTGGCCTCGGGAGCCCGAGTCCAGCACTGCCGACTTCCCACTCCAGGAATCCTTTCCCATTCTGTTACCAGACAGGTGCTGGCCCTGAGAGGCCTGCCTGGGGCCAGGCGTACTGTGTGGGTTCTTGACTTCGTGTAGGAAAGATGTCGCAAGAGTCCAGGTGAGCAGTGAAACGGGAGGGCTTAGCGCAGAAGCAACAGGAGAGCCCGGGCTGGGCTGCCTTAACTCACTGGGAAGTCAGAGTAAAGGGGGCCCTTGGGGACGGGTTCAGGGGCTCAGCCTGGGACAAGCTGCCAGCAGGCCACTGCCTTAGAGTTTAGGAGATGCGTGCCTGTGAAGAAAGGAGTGGGGGAGATGGGAAAGGAACGGAGCAGGCTGCTCCCCAGAGGAAGTGCACTGGGTCCTTTGTCTTCAGGCTTGCTCTCTTGCCGGCTGGAACCTTGGGGGCGTCTCAGGGGAGGGCTTCAGTAGAACAGTCATCAGTTCCCCAGGTGCGCCCTTTCAAGGTCACGGTCTCTGCTGATTGGTCAGTGGCTGGGCAGGGGTCTTTGCTCACTGCAGCTAGTTTTGGCTTTCCCCACCTGGTTTTGCTGTTTTGGGTCTGGAGCGGAAACACAACTGAAGCCTAGGTGTTTTCTCCAGGGAGGAAAGGCCAGGGGAGAAGTTACTGTGGGGGTGAGGTCCTCAGTTTTCCCAGTTTTGCCCCCTACCATGCACTTGGGCCTTTTGCCCTGGTGACCATCTGCACCTGGCTGTAAATTGCTCTGCCATTGTGCTCAGGTATCTGTCTCAGTTTCCCTATCTACTTGCCAAGGAATTTTCCTAGCCTAGAATTTTCACTATTCTGTCTCAATTCTAGGTGCTGAGAAAAAGCCATGTGCCCTGCATGCTTTTAGGATGGGAAAAACCCTTTATGGGAGCCTGTGGTTGGCGCCCTGGAGCCCCACTCTGCCCCAGGAGAGGCAGGATGGGGGCAGGAGCGCGTTACAAGACCAGGAACAGCATCCCCGGAACGACCAGGACAGCTGGGTCACGAACCCTTTCTCTGCCCTCTGCCTTTCCCGCCGATGCCCACGGTCAGAGCCCAGAAGAGGTGAATCCCTGCCCAGGCAGGGCCTCGTCGGGTCTATAGAGAGGCCTGGGTGCTGCGAGTCTGGAGGGATGGTGGGACCCCAAGGCTTTGTGGGAGCGGGGCCCTGCCCCCAGTTGCCCTCTCCTCTGGAGAACTGAGGAAGAGGTTGCTTTTTCAAAGAAAGCAGCAGGATGGTGCCCGCAGGTTAACTCCCCCATGCATGTGGTGGCCGGGGGCCTTGGAGGCCAGGACAATACCTGGACTGTTCACCACCGCAACACTGACATCAGGGCCCCAGGGGACTGGAGCCAAGCTGCCTTCATGGTTATTCCTGCCCTCAGCCCCAGAGGTGGATCTGCGAGGAACAAGGAGGTGGGCCCTGCCATTTAGTCCACAGGAAGGCTACACCATGACCACCTGACCCCACGGAGAACCCTCAGGGGCCCGACCTGCCCAGCCTGGGCACCATCCCTGTGCCGGGCACACCTTTCCCCACGTTCTCCACGGGCACCCTCAGGCTACGTCCTGCTGCCCACTGGGGCCCAGCCACACAGGGTCACCGTGACCTTGAAGGCAGCTGCAGGTGTCAGCTCAGTTCCAGCAGTTGCCATGGCAACTTCTGCAGAGTCCACCTGATAGGCAGCTGCTCCTGCCTCTAAGGGTACTGGGGGCCTTCGGGGGACCCCCGGGGCACTGCTGCCAGCCATGGGAGGGCAACCCTAGCAATCTGGGCCGAGGAGAGGGTGCCCCAGCTCACCTTGAGCTCCAGCCCTGCCCTCCCTCTGGCCTTCTGAGAAAGGGAAAAGCTGATTCCACACAAAGTAGTGCCCCCCCACGCCAACCCCCAAATCCTATGAGCCAGAGAGGACCAAGGAAGAAGTTGTAGTACTTCCCTTCAGGGTCCCAGTGGCTCGTCACCCGGACAGGGCCAAGTTCTTGGAATCCACAGCTTAGTTCCCTCCAAGTGGCATCCTTCCAGTTTTGCCAACTGACTCGTGCAACATGGCTAAAGGCAGAAACCACGAGCCCTGCCCTGGTCTACCCAACACCAGGAGCTGGGGACCGGCCAGCCTGGTGCACAGAGGGCGTGGTAGAAAGTCTGCAGCCAAAAGGGACCCCAGAGGGGCTGGACACCTCCGCCCCCACCACAGGCGGACTGATCACACCCTCCAGGTCAAAGCCTCATCAGCTGCACTGAGTGGTCCAGAAATGGTCCTTTTAATGCAGAAAATCAAGATAATTTACAAATGGATCACTTCATGGGCCCAGGCTGAGGGGCCCCAGGGGCTGTGAGGGCAGAAGGGAGGTGGAGGCCATTGAGAGTCAGGGGCGATGATCTCAGTCAGCACCTTCATGGCAGATCCTGCCCAGGCTCTGGCATGCCAGGCGAGCCCTGGCCCCTGGCCCCTCGACTCCTGCTAGTCTAACCCAAGTGGGTGGACATGAAGGGAGAGATCCTTGGAAGTGAGAGCCTGGAAGGCCAGGGAAGGAACAAGGCGGCAGGCTGCTGTCCCCTCCGGGCAAGCCAGAGAGGACGAAGCAGAGAGTCCTTGGACTGAGGTTTGGGAAGCGGTTATCTGATTGAATCTGGCTTGGAAAAAAGGATCTCGGATGAGGCAGCTGCTAGGGAACTGTTAAGCCCCTCCCCGCCAAGGTATTTACATCCATCTGTCAGAGTCGGCTTGGTGCCGGTTTGGGCTCAACACCTCCTCTGCGGGGTTTGTGGGGAGATGGGCTGGAGGCTCAGGGCACTGGAGGTAGAAAGACACCTCAAGGCAGCCCAGATTCCAGACTGGCCTGGGGCTGGCAACGCTGGGCTTCGCAGGGGAGGCTGTGGTCTGAGCTCTAGCTGGCTGCAGGCACTTTCCCCCAAGTCTGGTCAGTTAAAGGGGACCCCAGGGCTAGGTCCATCAGCCCTTCCAAACAAGAGAACGTGGTCACAGCAGCACCCACGGGGGGCTGGTGGAGTCTTCTCCCAGGATACCCACCTGTCCCCTCTCCCATTTTGTCCAATGGTATGGACCCCAGAGCAGAACCAAGCCCCAGAGAATCAGCCTTCCAGGCAGATGGCAAGGGGAGGGAGAGAGAAGCTGGTCACTTTGGCATCTCCAAGGCAGACACTTGAGGCTTCACCGTGAAGTACTGGTTGAATCGGATCACTGCGTACCTGTCAGAAGACAGGAGAACCAGGAGTGAGAAGAAAGCCATGCCAGGGGACTCGCACCAGGAGCGAAGCCTCTCACCAGCCCAGCCCATCCAGGTCTGTGCAGGTCAACACCAGTCTAGGCTGATTTTTAAAAAATTCAACTATAATTGTATTTTTCTTCTTAGAATTGACTGGACCAACCCTTCCCTAAACAAGGTCATTTAAAAAATTTTTACAGTTCAGTAACATTGAGTACATTCATACCGTTGGGCAACAGATATCTAGGATTTGTTCAATTTTATAAAACAATGCTACACCCCTGAAACAGCAACTCTCCACTCCCCTTGCCCCGGTCCCTGGTGCCACCATTCTACTTTGTTTCCGTAAATTTGATTAATTTAGTTACTTTATGTCACTAAATCATACAGTTTTCCTCTTTTCGTAACTGGCTTATTTCACTTAACACAATGTCCTGAGGTTCACCCACACTGCAGCACATGACATGACCTCCTTTCTCTTTAAGAATGAACGAGACTCTACTGCATGAATATACCTCGTGTTTTTTACCATTCATCCCTGCACGGACACTTGAACTACTTCCACCTCTTGGCTATTGTAAGTAATGCTGCCATGAACATGGGTGTACAGGTATTTCTTTGAGATCCTGATTTTAATTTTCTTAGATATATACCCAATAGTGACATTGCTGGATCATACAGTAATTCTATTTTTAATTTTTTGAGAAAGCACAGTATTGTTTTACCAATAGCAATGCACAAGGGTTCTAGTTTCCACATCCTTGCCAACACTTGTTATTCTCTATTTATTTGATAGTAGCCATCATAATGGGTCTGAGGTGATATCTCATTATGCTTTCGACCTGTATTTCTCTAATGGCTTTGAAGCTAGGTGGGTGATTCCTTTTGGGCTGAGGGTGGATGGAGAGGAGAAAGGTGAGGAGACTGGACCAGAATGAAGAATAAAATAATTTATGGTCTCCAGGGACACATGTGGGAGAATTTCCCCCAAAACTGGAATTATCTTCTGGAGGGCAGCTGCTACGTGAGTGTTCTAGGGACCCATCTGTATCAGTGTGCCAGCTGGTGGTGTTATGAGAGGCTGCTTTCAGCTTCAGTGAATTTTTTTAAGACTCTTCTATGTGTTTGCCCATTTCATGATGGGTGATTTACAAGCGCACCTGCCCACACCACGCTGAGCATTGGGCAATTTTATGCCCCACCCTCCCTATTCACCAGGTCTTGCCTCCAGTGACTTTTTTTTGTTTCCTCAGATGAAAAAAGTCCTCAAAGGGAAACATTTTGCTGATGTGGAAGAAGTGAAACAAAAACAGAGGCAGCACTAAAAAGTATAAGAATTGAGTTCAAAAACTGTTCTTGAGCAGTGGAAAAAATGTCTCAATAGGTATATTGCATCAAATGGAAAGGACTTTGAAAGTGACTGCAGTTTCAACACATAAGAATACACAATTTTTTATAAAAAAAAATCCCAGTCCTTTGAGTCCCTCTTCATAATGTACTTCACATAATGGGAGCCACCCCCTTCCCGCCAAGAAGTCAGTACTCAAGTACAGTGTTGGTACAGCCTGTACCACATCACTAGGGGCCGCTGAGGGAGGAGTTGGGTCTGGCACCACACAGGAAGCATTAAACCCCCGAGTGACCTCAGCAAGTCACTCCCACTCTCTGGAATGCTGACCTCTCTGCTATAAAATGCAGGCTGGGTTTGTGATCTTCCAGACTGATTTGTGACAATTCTGTCCACCACCGAGCCCTGTGGGTAGGGCTCTGGAGTCACAGGAGGAGACAGGGAAAGTGCAGCCTCCCACCAGGCAGGCAGGGAAGGCGCAAGAACATCAGGCTCCTTCTCAGTGCTGCCCTGGTTCCTGAGCCTCCCCTGGAGCGGTGACCCCACTGGCCATGGGCTGGGGACGAGTCAGCAGAGGAGTGGACTCTGGATATTCTATTTGGGCTGTCCTTTGCCCCCATGCCCTCAGCTCTTCCTCCCTCCGCGCCCCCCGCCCCACTCCAAGTTATCCCGTGTACTCACCTGAGGAAATCAAAGTCAATGGTGGAGAACTGGTTCTGGATGAGGGCCCAGAGTGCCCAGAAAAAGTGAGATGCCTGGAAATAGAGCAGAGAGGGTCAGCACGGTGATCCTCCCAAGCCTATCATGGACCCCATGTAGCTAGTCACGCAGTCACGCTGGAAAGCACGGAACCCGGTCTTCCCAGCACAGTTTGGGGAAATTCAGGTGGTCAGTTCACTACATAGCATTTGGGCACACCAGTCCCTCTAGAAAAAAGCAAGCAGAGATGGTTCTACCAACATCAGGAGAGGGCAGCAGGCTGGTGCTTCTAGGACTTTCGGCTTGTTCCCCAGACCAAGGAGAATTTTACCTCTGGCTTCTCTTGTACCAGGGCATCTCCTCCAGTCTTCAAGGACAGTGTATCCAGGGCAAGATGAACCTCTAAGCCAGAGCCCAGGCCGCTGGCCAGTGGAGGGGCTGGTACCCCTCAGCAGTGCCCTGGCCACATGGCCATCAGCCGTCCAGTCTGCTGGAAGAACCCCTACGGTGACCTTTTCCTCTTCTATCAGAGGGGGGTCGGGTTGGAAATGAGTGCAGGCGTGGGAATAAGCAGCCAGAATTCGGGCACTGACTATAATTTCAACTGCTTTCCCCACAGCCAGAAGCACCTAAGGGGCCCAGGTCACCGCAGGTTCCCGGAGCCAGAGAGCCAGGCTTCCTGCTGCCCACAGACAAACAGCAGTGACTTCAATACTTTTCCTGGCTGGGGTTTTCTGCCCCCCTCCAAGTCCTGCTTGCTCTGGGGTACTAGACTGTACCTCCCTGCACTTTCTGCCTTTTCAGGGCTTAAAGGGGGCATATATCAATGAGCAAGTATGAATGATTACTAAAAAATTTAGCAAGAAAAAGGCACTGGGTGGAACAGTTAAGAGGAAGAACCTGAAGGAGAATCAGCTTTGTACCAATGAGGAGAACAGAGGAGGCGATCCAAAACCCCAGCGCTGTGACGGGCTGTGAAACGCCAGGCAGCTGCCTTATCTTCTTGCTTATGCATGGCTGATGTTAATAAGGCCAGGGAGCAATCCCCTGGGCACTCACACCCGTGGAGACCTGGCAGGAACCAGGTACCTTGGATAAGCGGCACTCAAACTCAAGAACTGACAGTACAGCACTGGCTGGTGTGGCTCAGTGGATTGAGTGCTGACCCGTGAACTGAAAGGTCGCCAGTTCAATTCCCAGTTGGGGCACGTGCCTGGGTTTCAGGCTGGGTCCCCAGTTGTGGGGCATGTGAGAGGCAACAGATCAATGTGTCTCTCGCACATCGATGTTTCTCTCTTCCTCCCTTCCCCTCTCTCTAAAAATAAGTAAATAAAATAGTAAAAAAAAGAAAAAAAAGAAAAGAAAAGGAAAAAGAAAAGAACTGACAGCACAGCAACTGAAGCAGGAACAGTCTGATCGGAAAAGCTTACAAGGAGTCTGAGTCAGCAGAGGAAGCTAACAAGGAGGATTAAGCTGACAGTCTCTATCTCCTCTAAAGGCTTAAAAAAAAAAAAAAGAAAAAAGAAAGAAAAAAAAAAAAGAAGGCATGTGGTTAACTGTAGCATGAAAGGCTAATGTTAAACATTAGAAAGAACTACTTTTCTAAATGAGAGAACTACTAAAATTGGAAGCTGAGGTCTTTCCTGGAAGTAGTACTCTAAGAAAAGGGAGAACGTAGACCTGCTGGGGTAGGGGAAGCAGGAAACAGGGCACCTTAGTATTATGGGGATGCTCGACATGGTTCTTCCCTGACCTCACCTCTAGACTAGGGTTCAGGAGCACATGGCAGGGTTCCCCAGGAACTTGCACCTGACCCTGGACTCTGCTTCCTCCTCCACCACAAGGCTGTGAGAAGGCAGAAGCTGGGGGTGGGTGCCGCATCCCACCTCCTGGCTCCTCCTTCCTCTGCCCCCTACCAGTCACAAGCACTCACCAGGGCAAACTTGTTGACTTGCACATAGAGCCTCTCCACCTCCCTAGAGGTCACGGCCATCCCCTTTTGTGCCTGCAGGTAGTAGCGCAGCCACTGCAGCTGGGTCTCCCGAGCTGGGTACCGGCAGTAATCGACTTCATTCACACCTGATGGGGAGGCAGCAGCACAGAAGTTGCTGAGGGATGGCCCAGCTGGGGGCCTCCTCCAGCTCAGGTGTTCCCTGCTTCACTGAAAACCTCCATCTGCGCCGCCCTGTGGGCTGTGCCTAGAAATGCAGCTTGTCTGATCAGCTGTACTGTGTAAAGGGTCGAGCCCCACCCTGGCTGGGGGCACTGGGAAAGGCTGACTGGTGGCGGGGCAGGGGCCGTCCTGGGAGCGGCGGAGTGGGACGCTCCGGTCGCCCCTGTGCCCGACATAAGATGCCGCCGCACCGGAGGCGTTCGGGCACAGCCCTGAATCGGGGCCCCCGACAAGCTCTCTCCTCTCACTGGCCCAGAGCTCTTCACTGAGAAAGTGAAGGGGCCATTCGTGTCTCAACGCTGCTTCCTAGGCCAGTGCTGGGCTGGCTACTTAAAAACCACCGGGAGAGCTTGGTGACAACGTAGGTTCCAAGGCTCCCACCACCAACCCAATTCTCCACATGACTGGGAAATACAGACAGGTGTGGAAACCCTGTCCTGGACGGCCTGGATCCCTCTGGTCCTGCCCTCCCTTGAGTCCTCAAGTTGCCAGCCCAACACGCGACGGCCCCGTCGTGGGCACAGTGGCAGAGGCAGCAGCTTCAAAGTTGGTACAGAAAATGGCAGCTTATTTAAGACAGAACTAGGACTGGCCCACCCTCCCCAGTCTCTTCCTCTCTCCTTTCCTTTCTGTCCTTCCCAAACTTCCCTTGTATTTCTGGAAAAACATACTCAGTCTCCTAGGGCCCCAAGAGTACGGCTGGAAAGAATCTCCTTGTGCAGACGTGTAAACCGAGGCCCAGAAAGAAATTTGTTCAAGGTCACAGAGCCAGTTAGGGGTGGGTTCAGGGTTGGAACTCATCTCCCAGCACCAGGTCTCCTTGCTCCAGGAACCCTGGAAGTCCCTTCTCCTTAGCTCCCAATCTCCTCCCTTGCCCACCTCCTCTTCCCATGCCTTCTCCTTCATTCTCAACTTAAAAGCAGGATGCGATCTGTCCCTTTGGAGAAATTCCAGCTGGACTTCACTCTGCATGGTGGGTGAGGAAGACTTAAAATGCTTAAGAATTGTCGCTTCTGGAAAGGCCAGTGGGTCTGGCTGCTGAGCATGCATGGGCCCCGAGCCCGGCTGCTGCCAGCCTCAGCTCCATGCCACCCCCACAGTTCAGCTGTTCCGCCCAGCAGGGGCCCGATGGTCCCTCAGGGTCCCAAATGCAGCTGGTGGCCACTCTGGGGAATCATACCCTCAGGAATAATAAGCACTTGACAGACCTGTCACCTGGGGTTCCGGAAGGGTGCTGATTGACCTGAAATGGGCTGGAGAGTGGCTCCTAAGCCTCAGGGGCAGGCCACGGCATGCTGCGTGCCGCACACTGCCGTCCCGGGGATGTCCTTCCAAACCCAGTGTCCGGGGGCTAGCTTTTTCAGTCCCATCTAATTATTTTAACAATTCAGCCCTCATGCTGGAAAATTCCGCCCTGCTTCCTTTACACAAATGATTCTATTATACATACTGCGCCTTTGTAGAACTGCTGTCTACCCTTAGGAAACTCTTCCTTCTTTCTACCTCTTCCAGTCCTGCTCTGGTCTCCCGAGCTGCAGGACAGCTTCCCTTTCTAGTATCAGCAGCAAATACTAACATGCGTAGTACGTGCCATACCTATGTGTGTGTCTCTTATCAGTAGTATAAAGTAGGTACTATTACTATTTCCATTTTACAGAAGCACAGAGAAGGTAAGTAACCTGTGCAAGGGTCAGACAGCTAGTAAGCAACAAAGCCAGGATTTAAAGTTGTGTAGTCAACTTGTGGTCAAGATGGTGGCGTAGGCAGACAGGGCTTGCCTCCTCACACAATCACATCAAAATTACAACTAAAATATAGAACGACTATCACTCAGAACTGTCAGAAATCAAGTCAAATTAAAGTCTGACAACTATGGGATTAAAGAAACCACATCCATCCAGACTGGTAGGAGGGGCACAGACGCAGAACGAGCTGATCCCTCACTCACACGTGGTGGATAAAAATTCGGGAGGGATATCTTGGGAATGAGGAGTCCCAGCCCCACACCAGGTGCCCCAGCCCAGGGTTCCAGTGCCAGGAAGATAAGTCCCCATAACTTCTGGCTGCAAAAACCAGAGGGAGTGAGTTGGTGGAATAAACTTCTGGAGTCCCAGGCAGTTCCTCTTAAAAAACCCACACATGGACTCACCTACTCAGATTCACTTCCTCTGAGCTTCAGCACCGGGGTAGCAGCTTGAAAGGCACCAGTTGCATACAGAGAGAAACTGAAGTGTCTGGTATCAAGGCAAGCGGGGGCTACTGTCCCTTTTCTAAACCCTCCCCCACAGAGCCATATCTAAGACTCCCTCAACCTGGCTAATACTGTTTGACCCACCTTGGAGATCCCCAGAGACTCCACCATACCCTACTTACAGGCCCACCCAAGCTGCTTTTCCATATGAATGGCTGGTCTTGGCTCATGCTGCACAACTTCCTAAATTCTATCAAAACAAGCAACAGCGGGCCTCAGTGAGCCCCAGGCCCAGCACTAGCAGCAGCCAGCCTAGAATCACAGCTTGGCTTCACCTGGGAATCTACAATCCCAGCACAAGTAGCAGACATCTCAGATTGCTTTATAGCCTTGGCAGGGTGCCCTGGGCAAAACATAGGTGGGAGCTGACCTTGGCCTGCATCACCCAGGAAACCCCAGGGCCAGTGCACCCAGTGAATAGCTACAGACCATGTTGGAGCACCACCACCCTGCCCCTGTACAGCTGATCCTCCAGAGGGCAGAGGTACCAACCATGGTCAGTGGTCACGGCCAGTCCTTGCAGCTGACTGGCCTGGGTTATTCCCTCACATTGACCTGCCAACAGCAATCAAGGCTCAGCTACAAGATGAGGGTGTACTCAGCCCACACGAAGGGCGCACCTTGAGTACCCAGATTAGATGAAAGGGGAGGCTGTGCCATTGGGCCCTACAGGACACCTACTACATTAGGCCACACTACCAGAGGGAGTTATAGCAGCTCTACCTAATACATAGAAACAAACACAGGGAGGCTGCCAAAATAAGGAGACAAAGAGATATGGCCCAAATGAAAGAACAGATCAAAACTCCAGAAAAAGAGCTAAACAAAATCAAGATAAGCAATCTGTCAGATGCAGAGTTTAAAATATTGGTTATAAGGATGCTCAAGGAACTTAGTGAGGACCTCAACAGCATAAAAAAAGATCCAGTCAGAAATGAAGGATACACTAGTTGAAATAAAGAACAATTTACAGGGAAACAACAGTAGAATGGATGAAGCTGAGAATCAAATCAATGATTTGGAACATAAGGAAGCAAAAAAAAAAAAAAAAAAAAAAAAAAAAAAAGGAAACCACCCCAACCAATCAGAAAAACAAGAAAAAAGAATCCAAAAAAACAAGGATAGTATAAGCAGCCTCTGGGACAACTTCAAGAGGTCTAACATTCACATCATAGGGGTGCCAGAAGGAGAAGAGAAAAAGCAAGAAACTGGAAATCCATTTGAAAAAATAATGAAAGAAAACTTCCCTAATTTGGTGAAGGAAATAGACATGCAAGTCCAGGAAGCACAGAGTCCCAAATAAGGTAGATGCAAAGAGGCCCACTCCAAGACACATCTGAATTAAAATGTCAAAGGTTAAAGGTAAAGAGAGAATCTGAAAAGCAGCAAGAGAAAAGAAGTTAGTTACCTACAGGGGAGTTCCCATAAGACTGTCAGCTGATTTCTCAAAAGACACTTTGCAGACTAGAAGGGATTGGCAGGAAATATTCAAAGTCAAGAAAAGCAGGGACCTACAACCAAGATTGCTCTACCTAGCAAGGGTATCATTCAGAATCAAAGGGCAGATAAAGAGCTTCCTAGACAAGAAAAAAACTAAAGGAGTTCATCACCAAAACATTATTATATGAGATGTTAAAGGGACTTATTTAAGAAAAAGAGGATCAAAACTATGAACAATTAAATGGCAAAAGCTACCAATCTATCAACAATTGAATCTAAAACACAAACTAAGCAAACAAGAAGAACAGAGACAGAATAATGGATACAGAGAACATTTTGATGGTTGCCAGTTGGAAGCAGGGAATGGGTGAAGAAGTGAGTGGATTAAGAAGTACAAATAGGTAGTTATAGAATAGACATGGGGACGTAAAGTTTAACGGAGGAAGTAGCCAAAGAGCTTACACAAACGTCCCATGGACATGAGCAATGGTGGAGGAAATTGCCTGAGGGAGTGGGACGTGCTGGGTGGAGGTGGGTTAAAGGTTGAAAAATCAGGACAACTGTAATAGCATAATCAATAAAATATAATTTAAAAAATATAAAGTTGTAGAGTCAAGTTGCAGAGTACCTACTTTTAACTAGTTCCACCTAAATTATTTTCACAATGCCACAAGGCAAGTAGCTCCTTACAGCTTGTTTTGCTCCTTACCCGCACGCAGGGCCCTCATGTACAATTGCACAGGCTGTACTGGGTGTAAAGGAGCACGGACAAGGGGGGCAAGCGGAGGCTGAGGCTGCCCTGTGCTGGCCCAGCGGGTGTGCGCTGCACATACCCCGAGGAAGGAGTCTTTTTCTAATTCACATGCCAAAGTAAGTATCCTCAGGAATCCTATGGTGGGCACGTTCTCCTAATTCGTACCAAACTGCCATATTGGCTAGCAGGGGTGTGCTCTGCGTAGGTGGGTCCTGCCTCCCCAGGAGACCTGGAGCCCTCTCAAGGCAGCCTGTGTCTTCTCCGCTCTCGCACTCTGCCTTGATCTGGCCACCATCATAAGGAGGGGATATTGTGCACAGGCTAAGTAAAAATGCCCTCTCACCTGCAAACTCATTGAAATGGTTGCCAATGTCAAAAGCTTGGTAGTTGTAGCCGGCATATTCGTAGTCGATGAACCGTACATGACCTATAAGGTAGAGGAGAAGCAAGGAGGGTTGGTCCCAGGAGATCCGGACAAGCCTGGTCAAACTTCCACAGGCCTCTGGAATTCACTCACTGCCCCTGGCTGGCCACTGCAGCAACCGGCCTTACCCCAACCTCCTCAGCCGCACTTTTCTAAGCTGCTTCCATCTGTCTGCCCATTTGTCCATCTGCCCAGCTCCAGCTGCCCCTCTCACATAGCTAGATCCATGGACTCTCCCCGTCTAGAGACATCTATCCTCAGCATGGCTGAGGACCAGAAATAAAGCAAAGGGTTCCCTGGGTGAAGCTCTCATCTGGGCCACAGGAGGCTTCCCTCCAGAAAGGCTTGAGGCAGCAGAGTGCAAGCCCAAAACACTGCTGGGGGAGCAGCCGGGGTGCCCCAATGTTGAAGACCTCCACAAACCATGACTCTGCGTTCTTTCTTGACACAGACTTTTTTAAGTGGGAATGTGTCCTTTTCCATTTCTTTCCTACAAATACAGGGCTCCTTTTGTTTGTCCAAGTCCAAGCCTCAGGAACAGAACCCTGCTGGGCAGCCAGGGCCAAAGAAGCCGTACCTTTGGTGCTGTCATAGATGATGTTCTTGCAGAGCAGGTCATTGTGACAAAACACCACAGGCGAGTCCAACTGGGACAGGTGCTCCTTCAGCCAGGCCAGCTCCTGTTCCAACATCTCTATCTTAGGGACATCTGCAGAAAGGCTGGACAGTGGCAAGAAAGGTGGCCGGTGTGGGGAAAGCTGACAGTAAACAGGAAGGTGCTTGGCCTCAAAAGCTCTGAGCTCTGGCCTCCTCACTACCTCTTACTGCGGAGGGACCTTGGACAAATGGCCAATCTTCTGTCATCTGCAAAATGGCACTAAGGTCTCCCGTCCTTCTGATGTCCTGTGTTTACTCTAAGACAATGATTAAAACACTTGCTTCAAAGCATTTTGCAAAGCGCCAAAATCCCTGCCTGAGCAGCGTCCCTGCTACTTCGTGAAAGGGACAGGAAGGTGAGGAAGGAGGCAGAGAAGACGACGGGGAGGTGAGGGTGAGTGTCCAAGCTCACTTGTCTCCGATGAAGAGAACAAGGGCAGCAGGGCAGCCGGGGAGGGGCTGGGGTGCTGGCGCTCTCTTGAGGAGGCCTGGGGTTCGTCCTGGCAGGTCTCCCTCACGCTCTAGCAGCTGGTGTCACAGAGAGATCACAGAGTTTAACTTCATATAAGCAAGCAAAGAAGTTGCTTCGCGGGCTCACTCCTATAAGGCCAAGGGGACATTAGGGCCGTTCAATGGAAAAGCACTTGGTATTTAGCGCGCTAGTATCCTGCCCTTTCCACCTTCAACTAGGAGTGTGGGTTTCCTTGCCCAGACCCCCGCCAGACTGGGTGTGGGCAACTTGAGGGCAGGAACAGACACATGGCAGCCCTGCCGCACCCCATCCCACAGCACACAGGCGCTGCTGCTGAAAAGAAGTGCATGCTCATGGACGAACGAATGGGTCCATCAGAGGCCGTGGGGAAGCTCAGGACGATGCACTAGGCGCAGGGGCTCTGCACTGCGGTCCCCAGGAAGCACAGGTCCGCGTACACTGAAAAGCCCGAAAGTCAGCAGAGCCCTTACAACCCCAGAACCACTGACGGGAGGAGGGGACGGGGCTGGGGTTTTGTCTCCACTCATGTGTCTCCTGCTTGCTCTCCTGTCCAGGGCAGTGAGTGTGTGCAGGGGCTGAGAATGAGACAGGTCCTCCTGACCCTCCCGGGGGGTAGCCCCACCACCCTCTCACTCAGCCCAGAAACCGGAACATGTGGACGCATATTCCGCAATTAAAGTGTCCCCATGTCCCCCCGGGGAAAGGATGAGTGGGAGGCTTCCTTCCAGGCTTCAGAGGGTGAAAGCCAAGAGGATCTTAGGTCTCTAGTCTAACCCCATGGGGAAACTGAGGCTCAAGAAAGGGCAGAGTCTTCCCTAGAACCTCCAGATGTCTCTGGCAGAGCTGGACCCTCTGCTTCCTAAGGAAAGTGGTCCTCAGCCCCTCCAAGGATCTGAAATCAAGCCAGACCTCCTAACCACAAGGCCCTGGTGCGTCACCCCTGACCCCAAGACTTTACATAGGCCACTCTCAGTCCAGGCATCTGTTAGGGGCTGACCTGGGGTGGAGGCGACCTGAGGGAGGCCTCCCACTCGCTGCCCCCACCCCATCCATCCTCACTGGAGTTTAACTGTATCGACAGGACTGCATACAATGTATTCCCTTTTGGCTCTCCCTAAAAAGCTACCTTTTCTTTTAAAATTCTTTTTTTCTTGGACTGAGACCATCCAAACATAAGAATTAGAAGGCTTCCTTTGGTTTGCCTAGGTCTCGGCCTGAATAACAGAGCTTTGACATCCAAGATGCCTGCTGCCCAGGCCCTGACCTCTGTCTGACCCCCACACTACGCACCCCAAGGCCACACAGATGGTCACTGTGGGAACAGTCCTGACCTTCTCCCTCCCTCCCCCGAGCACCTGGAACGTCGCCAGCGGGGCCTCCTTCAGCCCTGACACCACCATACTCTCCTGAGGCTGTGGGCTGGGCAGAACGGTCGCCTCAGAAGCTTTCGCACGGCAGGCAGAGCTGCTCCCGCCCCTACGAGACTGTGGGAGCCAGGTGATGGCCTGGGAAGCGGCCGCTGCCCGGCAGGGGGCCACTCAGCTCTCGGGATCAGAGCGGGAAAGGTGGGCTTCTCGAAGGGTTCGCGCTTCCATTGCTCCGCCCTGAGTCTCCTCTTGAGGGCCCCAAAGCCATCATGAACCCCACACCCTCCTGGCCGCCCCAGCCGCCACCATGCTTGCCCCAATGCCTAGGCTGCCCCGTCTATTCCCACAAGGTCTCTGAGTCAGCCCCCTACACTCCAACCTCCAGGACGCCGCCTAGGGCAGTATTCCCCCCCAAAGTGGTTCCTTGGTCCCCTGTCTCAGAGTCACCAGGGGAGGCTGTGAAATGCAGACCCCTGGGGTCCAATGCGAGGCCTCCCATCACTCTCCAGGGTCACACTGGGAACCTGCACTCAGCAAGCACCCAGGGGAATCTCATACTCAAGTTTGGGGAACCCTGGTGCTGGATGTTGCCCATTCAGTTTCGCCTCTCCTCCAGCTGGTCTCCCAACCTCTCATCCCCACTTCTCCTAAGCCCCACCTCCACCACGGTCCTGGTCAGGTTACGGTACTGCCCCGAGTCCTTGACCCCAACACCTTCACAATTACTTTCCACTGCTGTGAAACGGAATCTTTGTTCCTTAACCTGACACTGAAGGCACCTCACAATCGAGCTCCAACTCACACAACCTCTGCAGCTCGATCCCCCAAGACCCCTCCCAAACCTTCCTGAGGACCCGCTCCAGCCGACTCATCTACTCATCATCCATGAGCAAACTGTGCTCATGCTACCTCCTCCAGCCAGTGCCTCCCTTCCCACCTCAGCCAGGCAGACGTCCCCTGGCTCTCTGACCCCTGGCACGCACCACATACCTGCCTTCTTCTATAGGCCGGTCTGCATGGGCAGGTCCTCTTTACCCAGAGAGTTTCTAAGCAACTAGTGGGCAGGGCCAATGTCACCTTTGTGTTCTTTATTGTTTTAAATCCCAATCAGTTAGTGTTTGTGAAATAGAGGATGGACTAAATCAGGGTTATCAGGCAAGTTACGGGGCAGGATTATCATGGAAATCAGGTGTCTCATCTCGTCCCTGGGACTGCTCACCACAGCCTGCTCCGGAGCCGGGCAGGCAGTTCAGGGCAGGCATCATCCCCTGAAGAGGCTCAGAAAAGGTAAGCGATTAGATTTGTCCAAGGTCAAAGTTATGATAAGAACAAGGGGAATTTGTCAGTTCTTCTCCAGAGACCACGCCCCTCCCAACAAGGCCACCCCCCCACACCAAAGGTTACACAGTGACTGCAGAATCAAAGAAAGCTGCAGTAGCAGGGGTTATGCTTGAGCATCACACCTGGACTCTAGTCCTTGAGCTGCCACTGATAGCAATGACCTTGGGCAAGTCTCATCCCTACTCTGGGTCTGTTTCCTAATCTGTCAAGTGGAAGTGGTGGGCTGGGGGAGGTGAGGGTCCTGTTGGCTCAGGTACGGGGGACTCTGCTCTCTGTGTGCTGTTCTTGTCCTAGGGGGCAAGGCGGTTCTTGTCCCAGAGATAACACTTGCCATAGAAGGTCTAAACATGGGCCCTGCTGAACAAACAGTCCCGAAGCAGCACTTGATAATCCTTACGTGGCAGGACCCAGATAAAGCCACTGTATGTGGGAGAGTGGGAAAGAGATACGCAATCAGGAGAGAGTTCGTTATTACTGTCTTGTCATCTGTGAGGCGGTAAGGAGATATCCTGCCCCAAGCCTGTGTAACCCACTCCCATGAACATGGGAGCAGGGCTGTTCAAGCCTCTTCGTGGGGGGAGCAGGGTCACGCCATTCTTTCTCCTCGCCCCCACTGCTGTCTCGGCACTCAAGGGGATGCTGGTGAGCCAGGCGTCTGAAGGCTAGAAGGGGTCTGACGGGGTCTCAGGTGGCTGGCCAGAGACTGTAGGGAAGGTTCTGGGAACCCTGTCTTATCTGGGGAAAGGTGATGTCAGGATGGATGAAGAGAACAGAAAGGAAACAGCAAGCTGTCAGCCTGAACACGGTGGAAAGCGGGGTCCCCAGGGGCATGTGGGGATGAGAGGCATCCAGGCAAGTAGTGGAGGTCTTGCTGTCCCAAGGGCTTGTCAGCAGACGAGCTGACTTCTTCTGACTGACCGGGACTCAGCCTCACCTCATTCTCAGAGGGCAGGGCCCTCCCTTCCCATGGCTCAGAGGGCAGCTCAGGTAGACAGGGCGCTGGGCTGGGAACAGAAGCCCTGCCTCTGAGTACCGCTGACACTGGGCAACGCTTCGTTTCTGGGCTTCAGTGTCCTCTAAGTAAACCGGGGAGGCGCTGTCCCTGACACTAGGCCCTGCCATAACCTGAAGACTCAAGGAGAAATAAGCACTTGAGTCTAAAACTGTGGGTCTAAGTTCCTCAGATTTTCTCAACTGGCCCAACTCTTCTTGGGGACAGAGGCTCAGCAATCAGGACTGAAACCCCTACACCTCCCGTGGGGTGGACTGCAGCAGAAGAATGCGGAATAGGAGCACATTAGAGTGGTAGAGACAGTGGCAGCCTTGAACCCTCCCAGAACTTTGTACCTGGGGTTGATCTCGTTCTTCACAAGAGTGAAATAACTGTGCATCTTGTGCCAGAGGGTGGGCTTGGGCAGGCTGCCGTTGGTGTGGATGGTGTGGATCTTTGCCATTTCCAAGGCGATCAGCCTACAGCACAAAATAGGAAGAGCAGAGTATCAGTGTGGGGTAGGCCCTCTCTGCTCAGCCCCTCCTGACCAGAAACGGGTCCTACCCTGTCCATAGGGACTGGCCAGAGGGCAGAGTGTGTGGGATTATTATCTCAAATCTTTTATTTAAGAGCTCTCCACCTCAGCAGAAGGCAGGAAAATGAGATACGGCCTTTAACCTAGCAGCTCCCTTTCCAGAGCCAGAGCTGGGGCTGTTTCAGGTAGCAAAAAGGCAAAGCAGTGGACTGTTGGCCACAGGTCAATGACCCTACCCCACGCGAAGGTCATGTACCCACAGCAAGCCCTGAGGACAGAGGGGTCACCAGAGTATGGGGCGGTACCTCTCCTCCCCCCTTGGACTCTGACCCATGCCCTCAGGGGGAGGTGAATGCAGGGCACCAAGGGATTGGGGGACGGTGATGCCAGGCAGGGAGAAGGGGCTGCCTCTTATCAGCCTGGCCAAGGTGGGGAGGGCGGCAGGCAGGCCCAGGGCAGCCCCTTCCTCTGCGGCAGCAAGTTGATGATGCTGGCGGCCGGGTGCCAAGGACGCAAAACAAACCAGTGTTCTATTTTCAAGTTCTCCTGTGGACATTATCCAAGGTCCCAGGAGAGAGGGAGGGGTGGTGGGGAGAGGAGAAAGCAGCCTGGGGAGGACTGCTGGGAGAGGGCAGCGGTACAGCGGTACAGGGAGGACTCGCTGGTCAGAGAAGGGGGCCTTAGTAAGAACCTCATCATCTGAGGCCCTGTGTCCCAGCTGGGCTCCCCCAGGCCCCTGTCAGCGCTCCCTCTGGAGCCCCAGAGGCTGCCAAGCCTCCAACATTCAAGCTTCTTTCCCCTCTGCCTGTTGCTGGAATAATAATCACTGGGAAAGACAACAAAGGAACTGGCGGTTTGAAACCTTGTTGCCAAGATGTTCCAGGGACACCCCCTCCCTTGCCAGGTACTGGGAAGAGGCAGGCGATCACCCAACAGGACAACAGGGCGCTCTGGGGGCTCTTCAAGAAGCCCCTAAGGCTTCCACCCCCTTCATGGGTAGCGGGGGGCAGAGGGTGTGGCAGCAACTGCGTGGCTGGGGGATGAAGGCTGTGCTTTCAGAGGCCAGAGGCCCTGGAGTAGGAGGGAGCCCCCCGGGGTTTGGACGAGGTGGGGAGACAGACCTGAGACCCAGGCCTCCCCTTCCCAAAGGAAGATTCTGAATAGAGCACGAACAAACAGAGTGTTTCCTTGAATATCAATAAGGTTGTTGTCTGGAATAGCAATGAAAGTTAACCTCAACACTCAGCATTTTTATGCTGCAAAGCCTCAACAGCAAAGGTTGGGAGGTGGGGTTCAGGGCAACACAGGGAAGTGGCTCCCAAAGGCCGCCCCTGCCTTTCCTCGGAGATCCACCTTTACCCCAGAAAGATAATGGTCTATCCTAGGATATGTATCAAGAGAGGGCTACCTCCTACACTTTGGCCAATTTCTGGCTTCCTCCAAATGTGAAGTTTTTATTATTGAACCTGAATCCTTCAATCTTCCTGACAATGGTAATTGTTTTCATGAGAGGATGAGTGACAGGATCAGATTCACAGGGACGGTAGAAACTGGGAGTAGTGAGGATCTGCCAACTTTGGAGCTTATTTGCACAAGAGCTGGGAGGAGCAGGTAGGGGAAGCCAGGACAGGGCCCCTCAGCCCCCACCCTGCTCTGATCTCACTTCTCCAGGCAGGGTGCACGGTGGAGCTGCTCAGCTGGAGCCAGAGAAGCCCCTCACATGGATATCCCCCACCCCCAGACACAAACTCGCAGCTACAATATATAACTCAATGGAGTATGTTGGGGCCTCACCAGCCCCAGAAGCAGTGTTCAGGAGAACTGGTGGGTGAGGCTCTTAGATTCCCTCCTTCCAAGTCCCTAGAGCACCTGATAGGGGTTCCCTGTGCATAGGGCAAGCTGCACTAACTCAGGGTTACCTGCAGCAGGGGAGGGAGCAAAGAAGACTGTTGGTCTACTCTTTAGGTGGGTTTTATTGTTGCCGCTCAGAATTTGGAAGGCTCCTTATCCATCGCTGGGACAGGACAGAGCCCAAAGGTCCTGGGCACACCCCTGGGCCATGTCCCCCATGTCAGGAATGAATTTCAGCCCACCTGGGCACTCGTTCTAGTCTGAGAACCCTGCATATGGACATAGCACTGGAAGGATAAAGGTGGATCCTGCCTGACCACCTTGCCCGGCACACTCAGAGGAAAGAGAGTGCACCATGCGCTTCTTTGGTTCTCCTCCTTCCAGCCCCACGGCCATAGTATCCAAAAGGCTTGAAGGTTCTACACATGTAGGCAATTAACAGGAGTGGCTCCTGTTAATGACCATGGGTTCTGTGAGCTTGTGGCAGCCTCAGCAGCTCCCCAAACCTGGACTCCCACCTTATCAGGGAACCTGGAAGGAGTTCACACTGGGGGAGGAATGGCATCTCTTTGGGCTGCTAAAACCATGCTCAACCTGAGAGAGCCATTTTCCTAGCATGTCTGGGCTCTTGGCAACAGGGGAGGAGCAGGAAGCTCTGACCACTCTGGGGATTTGGCTCATATTTCATTTCCAAGGCTCAGAGACGTTTCCAGGTCAGCCTGGGGTGAGCAGAGGGCTAAGGCATGGACCAGGAAAGGGATCCCTGCTGCATTTCAGGAGCCAGGTCCGTTGGTCCTTTGTTAACCAAAGTTCTCATGTGCCTCCCTCAAGAACTCATCCTTTTAGCAGACTGCCAATGAAAATTTATTCAAAGCCATAGTTCCTCTCTGAATAGCAATGCACATAAAACACGTACCCTTTTTTCATGCAATTTCAGGGAGTCCACAGATCTTGTGACTCATTCATGGACTGCACTCTACACCATGGAAGCTGGCCAAGGATTTCAAAGCCCAAGGCCTAAGAAATCATGGAGATGAACACTACCCCTGGGCACCGTCCTCACCTGAAGAGCCGGGGCTCACGGATGTGCTCAGGCCCCAGGGCCATGCCCGGCATGTACTCATAGCACAGCCCATTCTGGAAGGTACAGTAGAGTTTGGGGGCACAGCCATGTGCTCGCAGCAGCTGGAAGTTTCTGACCTCATTCTCCCGGTCAATCAGCAACTCCGTCCGCTCTCCGTACACCCGAACCAGCACACAGTCCCGCATGTCCTCTTCCACGTAGCAAGCCACCAGCTTGTTGGTGATGCCATCAGTGAAGCGCTAGCATGGGGAGAGGGCAATGCAAGGCTGCGTGGGGCAGGATCTCTGCTCTTGTCCCACAGCTGCCTGGCTTCATCACGGGTGTTGGAGCGTGACCACACAGAACCTCGTTCTTTACCCTTGCACTTAATAAAGAGTCCAACACCATCCCCAATGCTTGTGATAAACCAGAGAATTCAAAAACAGTGGCAGCATGGGCTCACCCGGGTGCCCTCACTTCTCCCGGGTGTGCCTCCAGGGGATGGGATTTGGTGGTGGAGGAAATCTGCACACCACTTGGTGGTTAGAGGCACTCTTCCTCTCCTTCCTCCTCTACCCTGGCCCGGCAAGAAACCTCCATGGGCCAGAATGTGGCAGAGGAGGGCCAGGATCACCCAGGACATCCCCACCCAACTGCCTCTCACCACCTGTAGGCAGAGGGTTCTTTGCTGTCCCTCCTGCCCATGCACGGTGTTGAGGTTGGCACCCACCCTGGGGCTTTGGTGGTCAGAGCTCCTTAGGGCCTCTGAGTTCCATACCAAAAGAGACAACGGACCCAGCGCTGGGAGACGAGGGTCTCGGAGGGGGTGAAAAAGAGGAATGAACTACGGAATTTATAGGGCACAGTGTGTCAGAGCTGAAAGGAGCCTTAGAGGACATCTGAACTAATTCTAGGTGGGGAAACTGAAGCCCTAATATGGAAGGACTGGTACACAGCATGTTAGGCCAGTATTGGAATAAACCTCAGGCCTCCTTGATGCCTTGACACTTTTACTCCAAAGTAAGCCTTTTATTTTGAAAATGCTACCTACCCACCCCTCCCCCCACACTGGGTCCTGAACCTCCCAGACTGTTCTTCATGGGCAGTAAGCCCCTACCACTCCATCACAAGCTGCAGGTGCCCCTGCCCCTGACTCTTCCTCCACAGGCAGCTTCCAGAAGGGATGGGAGGGCAGGCAGGTGATGACTCTTTACTGAGGATGCAGGTCAGCTGGGGAGGCAGCCTAAGGCTCCTCAGTGGGAGGCTCTGCCCATGTGTGTGTGCCTGCTAATATGCCCATCTTGGGGTGGGGAGGCGCCACGTTGGGGGGACGGGGGGGCGCTAAGCCAGAGCCAGGGCGACAGGGAGGACTCCCACACAGCGCAAGGGCTGGCCGGAATTCCAAGACCGGCAGGGGCCAGTCAGAGCCTGGCGGCTTTGCTACCCCCACAGGGTGCAGAAGGGGCAAAAACACGTGTGTACGTGTGTGTGTGTGTGTGTCTGTGAGGAGCAGCGGGGGGTTCCTGAAAAGTTCCTGCCGCCGCAGGTTTCAGAGCCGGCTGGGTAGGCGCCCAAGGCCAGCCGGTGGGGAGCCAGGGGGCAGCGGCAGGACGCGACAGGGGGTGGGGCCCGCACGCGCAGCACGCGGACAGCGGGCAGGTGGACCTCGGGGGTGCCCGCCCGCAAGCCCAAGTGGAGCGGTGTGTGTAGAGGGCACAGGAGGTGAATGGAGAAGGAAACACACATACAAAACCCCATCTCAACCCTCCTGCGCAGCGGCCGCGCCCCCCAGGACCCACGCCCGGAAGGATGCGCGGTTCGACGTCCCGCATTCCCTCTTGGTTACCTTGGTCCGAACTTGCTCGGGTTTCCAGTGCGGTCGCAGCTCCTGAATGAGGCGCAGGGCTCCGGGCAGGATGTCGTCCTGGTGCACAGAGATTCCAAAGTACGGGACGGCGGCGGCCCGCAGGGGGCCCGGCGGCTCCCGGCAGCGCGCGCCTGCCGCCGCTCTCTCCTCCATGCCCCATGAGCACTGCGGGCCGGGCGCGGGCCTCCTCAGGTAAAAGGGCGAGCGCGGCACCGGAGCCGAAGGGGGCGCAGCCATTCCCAGCGGCCGCCCCCTCGGAGCCGCCGCGCGTACGCTAGCCCCGGTGGGGGAGGCCCCGGCTCGGGGCGGGCGGCGGCGTGGTGGGGGAGGGGCCGGGGTCAGGCCATGACTCCGGAGCCTCTGCCCACCGCGCTCGCTGCCTTGTAGCCTGCAGCCCCTAGCCGACCCGGGAACGCCGGGGCTGGCCGCGATTGTGACATCACGGGCGCGGGCCGCGGGGCTAGGGCCGTGGGAACGCCCCTTTCCGCTCCCGCACGGCTCAGGCGGGCGGGAATGCGGCCGCCGCTACCTGGGGCTCGGGACGGGTTGACGCCCCCGGGAGGGCCGCGGCGCGGGGGCGGGGCCGGGGCTGTGACGCAAGGGTGGGGGCGGGGTGGGGCTGGGGCTGGGGCCGGGACCGGGGCCGAGATTAGGGGGTGGGGCGCGCTGGGGGCCCAGGTCCCGGATTTCCCCCACGTAAGGGTACTCCTCCCCCTCCTACCTGGCTTCCTCCCTCCCACCTGGCTAGAGCTTCTCTCCCTGGGGCAGGGTCCGGGAGGGCTCTTCCTGCGTCCCTACTCCATTCTGCTGTTGGGAGATCCGGCTGCAACCAAGAAGAGGTTGGCTTGGTTAGCCCACATGTACCCGGCTCTCTGCGTCCGGTCCCTGGACTCCTGGAAAAGGATCTGAGGCCCGTACCACATCTCAGTGGCGGTTCCTTGTAGGGAATCCCCCGGGCAAATATCCCCCTACACACACACACACACACACACACGCACACGCACACGCACGCACACGCAAGCACTCACAATGGAGAAGGAAGTTGGGTGATTCCTGTTAGAGGTGGATGTGCTAATGAGTATCTCACTAGTTACCAGCCTGGGAGAGCTCTCACTGCCCCACGCATAAAAGCGCTTATGGAGAAGGGACCCTTTTCTATTTCCCCAAGTTGTCCTTTTGTCCTATTGAGGAATCCCTCAACCACAAGACCCCATCATTATTGCTGTCTAGAATCCATCTCTGAGCTCTGCCGAGAGGAATTTCTGTGATGATAGAAATGTTCTACATAGTGTTGTCCACTCCAGTGGCCACTAGCCACATGTGAGTATCCAGCACTTGGAATATGACTAGTATGACATTTAATTTAATTTTAATGTAAATAGCCATGTGTGGTTATCATATTGGACAGTGTAGGAGATGATGGGTGAGAGCTGCATACTTAAGGCCAGGGAGCCCCAAGATGCAGAGTTAGAAAGGCCACTGACTCCCACCCTTCTTTTCGCAGTAAGGAAGTGAAGCCAGGCAGGCAACTGAACTCAGAGAATCATGTTCTTGGCTCTGCAGGACGACGCTGCCATGCAGGAATGCTGCCCCAGAGGAGCCCTGGGATTCCACACAATCTCCAGAGGCTGCCATTCTAGAGGTGTGGGGTTTGCTGTGTCCTGGCTGGGCTACTCAGTGCCTTACCCTTTTTGGTCAAAAGAGGGGTGAGCAGCTACCACAAAGAGGGACAGCATCAGTGGCTTCAGGTGGGTGCTGCCTCTCATTACCAGAGCTGGATATCTCTACAGACAGCCCAGTGGGTAGGAGTGGGAGAAGACTTTAGGCTGTCTCAAGTCCATGAGATGGAGCGAGAAGCGTATCTCTGTGCCTGGGAACATGCCAGGGTGTCAGGCGCTCTCCCTGCTGAGGCCGTCCATCCGCAAGTGGGACGGGGGAAAGCCCTCAGGGCCTGAGTCTGATGGGCTGGGTTTCAGTCTTGATTTTTCACACTTCACTGAGCGATCTCAGCCAAATGCCTTCCATTTTTTGAGCCTCAGTTTCCGCACATGTAAAAAGGGAGTATCAGTCAGATATCTGGTGGTGCATGTCTTTAGGTGATGGTGCCTTGGACTGCACTGTGAATGGCTCTTTTGGGGTTGGGGGGATTGTTCGGGGTCTGCCTTGCAGGAGAGGCATGACTGGCTAGCACAGCAGTGCAGAGCGTGAGCTTGGGGCTGGCTTCCGTGAGCTGGGAGCGAGCATCTGTCTGGCCCACAGCATAATGTCACAGCATTAGCCTTGGTCCTTGAGGGGTTGGAGGGGGCAAGGGGCTGGCTCTCTGCAAACTTCCCACCCAAGGTTGTGTAAACAACTCCACTTGTGCCCTGCAGACAGCAGGTGAGCATGTTTGTCATTCTGTGCCACATTCCTGTCTGCACATGATCATGTGGTTGCCCCTCCCTCTGTTTCAAACCCTAGTGGACTCAGGTGCAATAGGGCTATAAACATGAAATCTTTATTCTGTTTGTCCTCAAAGCAGGGAAGAGCTGGTGTGGGGGCAGGTGCTGGGGCAGGGCAGGTGCTGGTGCAGGAGGAGCTCCGCGCCCTGTGCTCCAACATAAGGACACAAGCACAGGCAGGGGCGGTCCCAGAGAGGTCTCCAGCTCTGGGCTAGGGCTGGGACCTTCGCCAGGGCAGCAGACGGCCTCAGTGGGCCAAAGCAAAGCCAATGCGATTGTTTCGCCGATCAAACTCTGTGTAGAACTTGCGGATGAAGCTGGCACCCAGGACCCAGACAGGCCCAGTGGGCGGTGGGACGTCCAGACCGTGGAGGGCCAGTGTGCACAGGTCATCATTACTGTAGGGGTCCTGGCAGGAAGCAAGAGGTTTTCCCCAGAGCCCATCAAGTGACGGTTCTGCCCTCACCTTCCCTGACTCCACGGGGCCTCTTCAGCAACATCCCTCTTCCTCTACCCCCTCCACACTGCACCTCCATTGCATCCTGGCTCTTTCAACTCATCGTGGATGGCACCCCTCCTAGACATAGTCACTGTGCTAGACTCCGGGCACACAATGCAGCAGGCCCAGCATTATGAACTTAGTGTATGGCAGAGCTTCTGATCCTAGGCAAGTTACTTAACATCTCTAAGTCTATTGAGTGTAAAATGAGGATTTTAATATAGGAACGGAGCATTCCTGGGAGCATTTGGTGAGAAAACAGAGCACCAAGCACAATGATTCCTAAACATGGCTGCACATTGGAATCACCTGGAAGATTTAAAAACACTAATGCCCCAGTGCCACCCCCAGAGGTTCTGATTTAATGGGTAGGGGATGTGGCTTGCCGTTGGGATTTTTAAATGCTCCCAGGCAATGCTGACAGCCAAGATTGAGAATTGCTGGCCTACTAGGAAATCTGTCACAATGACTCGTCCCTTTTTGAAGGCCCCTGCCCACACCTGCTGCCTGTCACCACGGGCCATGCTTGCACCTCACCTGTAACACGTAGTCTGCACTGGTGAGCGTGTAGGCTCTGCCTCCAAGGTGGAAGGAGATGTCAGGGAGTGTGGCCACCTGGTTACAGTTCACGACATACTGGGGGGAGAGTCAAGGGAGGCTCTTTGAGTGTGGGAAGCCTTCCAGCTTGTGGCCTGCCCCCACCCGGGGGGAACCCGGCCACATTCGAAGTGTGTGAGAGGTGAGGAAGAGGGGCCTGAAATCGCCTCATCTGGGAACTCGTGCTGCCGGGGGAGACTTTGGGTTCCGGGCGAATTAGCACTCTTCCAGCCCGGCGCTGCCTCTCTAGGTTCTTACTTCGTCTGTGCTCAGCTCCGTGGCCCCCAGGGTCTCCATGAGCAGCCTCAGGGAGCTGGTGGGGCCTGAGATGTAGGAGGCGCCGGTATCCACCACCGCCGGGCAGCCCTCTTCGCAGAGCAAGGTGGCTGACTTCACGGACACCCTAGGAGAGGCCACAGTCAGACAGACAGACGGACAGAAGGCTGATGGGGCGCCACCAGGCTGCGCAGCTTTTCTGAGTGAGGGCAGGAGATGGAAAGCCATGCTGGTGGCCCGGTGATTCAGTGAAGGATGGGCAAGGCGGGACCTGGGGGAGGGGAGGTGCTGTCCCCTCTCTCAGCCTGTGCTTGGTGACCCTCCGCCTCCTCTCAGCAGGCCTCTCCTTTCTGTCCCCCCCCATGTCGGTGCTCCCCATCCCTGGACAGAGCAAGCAGAGAGCAAATGCTGGCTGTGCCTTAAGCACTGGAGAGAGGGCGGGATGGCAACCTTGCCCTGTCCCCATCCCACCCTGAGCAGCAGCAGCATTTTGGGAGAGTAGAGAGTGTTAAGGATATCTGACCCTTTCATTTTGATCTGCCAGGAGCCGGTCTTGCTGACGCTCACGTAGTGGAAATTCCCTTGGTAATACTGGGGGTCGCTGCCTCCCAGCACAATCTCTCCCCCAAGCAGGTGGGAATTCCTAAAGGAAAGATCAGAGGTTCCTGGTGACATAGTGACCCCAGCAACAAGGGAAGCTGGGCCCAGGTGCAGGTGGGGCCCAGAAAGGCAGGATGGCGAGGCTGGGAAGCTGCAGCGCTTGCCGCTTCTCCACCTTTCTTGCCCCTCACCCAGCCCAGCCAGGGGAAGTTCCCTGATCATAGTCCAACTGCACCCAATAAAACATCCCTCTGGAGGTCACAGGAAAGAACAGGCACAAGGACAGGCCAGAATGCAAACAAGACAGAAACTGGCCCCGCCTTCACTTGGCTGCAGGTTGCTGTGGGTCGAACAGGTACATTGGAGGGCACTCAGGAGCTGTTGGGCAGGGCGGGGGGGGGGGGGGGGCTGGGGCTGGGGGGGGGCAGGAAGAAGGGACCCAGTATGTCAGCATCCAGCAGAGCCTGGGCCTGTGGGGTGAGTTTTGGGCAGGTGCGGGTGTGATTCCGGGCCAGGTGCTCTGGAAGGTCAGGGCCATGTTGGGGGGTTCACCTCCTTACTTGGAATTTCTGCAGAAAAAGAGACACAGTAGAAAGCCTTTGTTTCAGGAGAGACTTGCTAGCTTGTTTTTGGGAGGGTGGGCATTCTGCACTCTTCTTACCCCTTGGGCACGGGTGTCACCAAGACGTGAAGTCACTTGCCCGAAGTCATCCGGGCATTGAGTGGGGTGACTGGGGGACTGGAGCCAGGGCTCCTGGGGCCCACTCTGAAGTGGGACTCCATTGCCTTCCTCTCCTCCATTCTGCACAGTGACTCCCACAGCTCAGGGCCTAACTCAG